TACAATCACCATAACCTCTTAGTGATAATATTCAATAGATTATAACCTGCTTCATTCATAGTAAATATATTTCAACACCACAAGATTATCAAGAAATATAAAGTTCGTCTGTAATTCACCCTTTTGTAAATCAATTTAAATAAATGAAAATAATAAAGACATGTGTTAATCATTAATCAGTGCATTCACCCTTTACTTGCCCGGCAACCCCACATAACATCTAGTGGGTTTCATTGTTCTAAGTTAATTATTACACGTTTGGCTGACGAGTTGAATTGTGGAATTAATTTCCGAACAATATTGAATTCAAAATATTTTCATTAAACTTATTAATAATATTCTTTCCTGGTATTTGTATAATTGTCAATTAAAAATGTACAATTTTGATATATTTCATCTATTTATGTTATATAAAGTAATCTTGCATTAAAACGAAATATATATATTTAATATATTTTTATGTATAATTAAAATATAATTATCTATTAAAAAAGTTTATTTTATCAAGTTTATTTAAATCAAAATTAATATATCTACTTAAAAAAAAAGTTCCTAGCAATATAATTCGAAGAAAAATGATGTTACTTAGAAGTTTTGATTCGTAAAAATGTTTGATATTGAATTGGTATAATACATTATTTATTTATTTTTAAAATATTTTAAAATATTTAAAATTCGTTAGAAATAGAAGTTTCGTAGGCGTTCTTCCTTTATGTGATCTTATAGTATATAGGATTTCATGTCGTAAAACTTGCTTGGGCTTGTCGAGTTGTGTTTATAAACATTCACCCGAGTGCGCGTGTCGTGCGCCGTACAGCGCGTGTGACCTACTTGCTTAAATTCGTGGAACTGCATCAATCCCGAACATATATATATATTTAAAATTCTTATTTAATCTTTTTTCCAAAATTTTATAAATCTTATATTTTCGTAGTGTGCTAGTTAAAATACTATCTATTTTTTATATTACTTTCAGTAGGAAACAATAATCGAGATTGATAAATATTTTGTATTTAAGTATTATGGATACCTAAAATTTCAAATATACTTAACTGTTCTATCAAGTAAGTAAAAGTATGTTTTGAAAGGATAATAGTATATGTATTTGTTTACTTCTATTAATTTAAATTTATTAAAATATACATTTAAACTTTGACTTAAGTATATTTTTTCCATTAAATATTTTCATTTATAAATGTATTATTTATTTATAATTGATAGTATAAATATTTAACGCATTGAATAATAAATTATACAATTCTTATATAAATTTCAAATTGATTGAAAGTTTAGTAAATATATGATATACAGTACAATATCTAGAAAATCACTATGCATGTATAATTATCTGGGATCAGACTGAAAACCTCCATTAGATGTTGGGCGGTGGTGTTACTGGCAAGTAGAAGGGACAGTTCAATTATTCAAGACTACTTATAATGTTTATTGTTGTTCCTTTTATTAAATATAATAATATAATTAATAATTAATAATTATGAAGTATATAAATAATGGTATGATAGATTAAATATAAAAAGTTTCCTTTATATTGTTACGTGTTGATGAATGTATTTCCTTTTTGTTGTATAATGAGTAAATGCTATCTTAGCATACATTAAATTGTTAATGTTTGTGTTATACTTTGGTGCCGCGCCTATGTGTATGTCGGTCTTATCTGTGAGATGCTTCAATAGTAGTATGTTGATGCCACGCCTATGATACGTTGGTCTTATCTATAAGTTGCTTTAATATGATTTTTATGTTTTCACTGTCGTTTAATCTTAGCACTAATACGTTATTAATTTAATTTTAGTTTAATGAATTTTAGAATATAATGTCACTATTTCTTTCTTAGATTATTACTTAATTGATTATTACGTATGTATAACATTAAACTGTGGTCACTGTAGAGAAAGCTTGATGATGTATAGTGCGTTTGTTATAATGATTGTGTAATTATTATTAGACTGAGGCAAACTGAGCTGCTTCGCGTGAAGCGCAGCCCTTAAATATTATCGCATTATTCCTTAAACGTTGGTGTTTGTTGCCATGATGATATTGGTTGTGACGTCAACAGGGCAAAGCCTGGAACGTTCTTTGCTGGTGTTTTGTTTAAATAATTGAATTGCGCGTTCATATCTCTCCCACTTTTGACTTTCAACTTTTTCATCCGTTACAATAATATTAATAAAATTTTCTTTTTTATAAAAATAAATTAATTTTAATAGATTTGATATTATATATTAACATAAATAAATCTAATATTCCTATAAACCTAATATGATTTTTATTGAAACCAACAATAGTAGATTTTACAGTTAATAAAACGGTTTGGATATTTGTTATTACACCACCTTCAGCAATTATAACTCCAGATAATAGCTTATTCAATTCTTCGTTATTACGAATATCTACATGTAAATGTCGAGGAATTATTCTGAAATGCAGTTAAATAGAATTTTTTAAAAAAGTAAAGATAAATAAATTTTTTAAAATACTAAATTACAAAAAAATAAATTTATAATTCTTAAATATTAATTTTTATTATTTTTATTATACATTAATAAATAGATGATAAATGTATTTAAATGGTATAGTATTTAATTATATTAAGTTGCATATGTATTAATATATTAAATAAAAAACTAACTAAAAAGGTAAATTTATATCACTCGGGAAACTTCGGTATAGTAACACTAAGTCATTATTGCCAGAATAACGACAACGCGCTTGAATAGATTAAGGGAAGCACGAGTCGAATCAATCAGTCTTGTTGAGTGAATCTATAAGAAATTTTCCAATCATATCTGGTGAAGTTCTACGCTTTCTACACGTCTCCGTCAAAAGGGATCTGTGCAAGGTACACTGTTAATAATTAATTATTATTCAAATTATCAGGCAAATCATTCCCGGTACGCCGTCAGCGATACTGATTCTTATCTATACCGCTACTGGGCCCCGATATTTGCCATGCGTCTCCAGCAAGGTTAATTATTATTTTATTGCTAAAGAGCAGAAATTTACTCGCGGTAAGCCTTCGGCGATACAGATTCTCATTTCTACCAATTGGGCACCGCCGTTTGCCATGCGCCTCCAGCAAGGCTAATTATCATTTTATTTCTACAGAGCGCAAATTCACTCGCGGTAAGCCTTCAACGATACTGATTATACCGCTACAGGGAACCAAATGTTTGGAATTGTTGTTTCGACGATTGCATTTTCTTGTCAACTTAGTTGATCTTGTGCCTAGGTTTAAATGTAACAGTATATGGTGTCGCTTTTGACACTTATCGCATGACACTTTGGATTCGCATGCGTGGTTTGAGTGATGCCCCAAGCAGTTGTAGCATAATTGGTGTGTGCTTCCGACCTGAAGCTTATCCTCAAGTGACAATTTCTCGAAATCTGAAATGCAGTTATGATGTGTTGCTGCTGGCAGTATGAGCACTTGTTGTTTCGTGGGGAGAGGTGTCGATTTTGTTTGTGTGTACCGACTGATAAGTGATACATTTTGGCTGATCATTTTCTCTTTGGTCGGGATGCAGAATGGGTTTCTCGTGGTGAAATACGACTCTTGTTTGTAAATACTCTTACCTTTGTCATCATGAACGCATAGAATTGTTCATACTTGGGGTAATTGGTAGATCTCCCTAATGATTCCTCCCATTGTTCTCTAGTGCGTTGAGTGAATCTCTGCGTTGCTTGATGGACCATAATGCAATCCCACGTGTCTTGTAAATCACTGTAAATCACTTGTATCACGAGTGAAATCCTCCATTGCGTCGGCTTCATCTTGCACGCGTTACGTTCTGATCAAACCACAAAAGAGGGCGTCGACAATCCGTAATAGTCCCCACTACCTTCACGAGCCGAATCACGCCCAGTAAAATCTATCGCCGATTCAAACGCCTAAGCAGTCGCGAGCTGAATAAAGCTTAGTACAGTTCTAGCGTCGACTCAAACGACTAGGCATTCACGAGCCAATCAACACGCCGCTAATTTATCACCGAACGTCAAGTATTCGTGGGCCGAACAGCGCGCCATAAAATTGATTGTCATCAAGAAAGTCGCAAGTCCAACAGGGCTCTCTAGAAAACCATGGTCGAATCAACTGTCTAATGATTCTCGAATCGGAGACTCCTTTAATTTAGGGACTAAAGCACGTGCCCAGTACTCCCAATTCACCTTTTAGATTTGCACTCCCAGATAATATTCCAACTTAATGGCCAACTGCCTAATCGCTATGAACTCAACAATTCTCACTACAATCAGTAACACCAACACCATTGTAACAACTGCTTAAATAAAGTTCACTAAAACCAATTGTGTTGACCGCTGTGACCAGAATTGTTGTACGCATTGTTTTATGAATTTCCAACGGGTTAATCTTGAAATTGACAAGTTTCTTGGTGATGGTTCTGGGATTGTGATAGGTGAGCTCTCCATTAGGAAGTGTCCGGGTGTTAAGGAGAGATGTCTTCGGGATCATCACTTATGGGTTCGAGTGGCCTTGAGATGAGGATGGCTTCGATTTGGGTGAGCAGTGTTGTGATTTCTTCAAAGGTCAGGATCTTCTCTCTGACCATTCGCCTTAGGTGGAATTTGATGGATTTTACCACTGCTTCCCATTTTCCGAGAGGTAGGAAAGGTTAGTAGATCAGGAAACACTTGTAAACAGTCATTTCCATTCTTTTTCGCATTACAAAACGCGCTCATTGTTTTCTGTCGCGATAAATGATCTTAGTTGTTTACTGGCAACAACCCGACGAGTCTGTTTATGCTAGAACAGTTTGAGAGTGTCAGATATACGTAAACTATCGAGCAGAAAAACATTTCATAAACTGAACAGAAAATGCTCACTCATGCAGCCTAAAACCGCGCTCTAATTGGACACAAAGACGGGGAACGGATCCTAAGTGAAACTCATTGTCAATAATGTATTTAAGAGAGAGAACTACGAGAGCAATCACTCTTGATACAGTTCTTATTCAAATACGAAGCGGAAAATCCCTCAACCGAGTCCAAGATTCGTATGTAGTATCAACTACTTTAGGCATCATAGCCATCATTAAAGATTCAAGTTTCTAGGAAGCCAGGTCACCGAGCATATATAAAGGATTGAGGCCACCTCCAGATACACGCAAAATTATCTTAATTAATTATTACTTATAGAGAAATCAGTGCCCCTTAAAAACATAGCACATGTCGACAAGTCTTCGCGCCATTTGCGCCCTACCTTGCCGACCTAACCTCTTTCGAAGCTCCAGTCCGCCGCTCACGAAGCCGATTTTAGCGCCATTCAGCGTTAATAGCAGACACACCACGTGGCCTTCTGAATGAAGTGGTAAGAGCTTTACAACCTTTTACTTCCCAGGGAATAACCTTAGTGCACTACGCCAATAGAAACAACATACTACATTAAATCACGTCTGGTAAAGTACGCTTACCACCGAAAAGCGTGATCCAACTGTTCCGGATTGAAGCAACGTCGAAAAATTCTAAAAATGGGAAAAGTAGAATTTCTCAGACGCTTATGTTTGCAAAAATTGAATTTTCGAATTTTTAACTAGTTTTCGCTTTATTGCCTAGTGTTCTACAATATTTCCGCATAGCAAGAACGGTTGTCAACTCTCAAACATTACAGGGCAGTGTCCTTCTAGACTTCTTGATTTTTCTAGCTTCGTTTTGATGTCATCAAGACCTGTTGCCTAGCAACAAGCTCAATGTTGCCTCGGATGAGGCTCTCATTGTATCTTAACCAATTACTTAATCACCGGTTAATACTTAGTACAATTTAAAACAATCGTTCATATCTATTATCGTTCAATTAATAAAACTCAGTCAACCAGTTATTAATATTTACAACTATATACCAGATATTAATTATAATATACGTACATAACGTGTCGACTACAACCTAATAATCTAATGAGCGAACAGTGACGTCAAAAATCATATCGTATAAGTGTTATATTCAAAGAGCACGAGTGCATGTGCAGTTCAAGAGTGAAATTAATTGAAGCACAACACCAACATTTATTATCAAAAATTAAGTATCTCTCAACAGCTATGGCTTACAACATATCTTACTACTAACAACGTATCTTAACGTATCTCAACAACAGCTACGGCTTATAACATATCTTACTACTAATAACGAATCTTAACGTATCTCAACAACAGCCACGGCTTACAACTTTTCTTAAACAAAAAACATAAAACTGTTCGTAAGGATTGACGACAGCTGCAGATGAAAATATTCATCTCAGCTTCAAGGAGCAATTGTTAGAACGTCATCTATGCGTGACACTGTTCAAGGAAGTAGAGAGATTTACACCTCATGCTGCTGCGAGTAATAAATTCTATCACCATTTGAAAATCACTGAAGAAACTTCACAGATTTTATAATAATTTTGCAATCACCATTAATACAATTTTATAAACATCATTGTCTATAATGATATCATTGTATTCATAAAATAAATAGAAAACCAAGATACACTGTGTGTTGAATTGAATAATTGCGTTTGCTTCTTCCACTTGCCAGCAATCACCCCTACCTAACATCACCTGGAGGTTTTTAGTCTGATCCCAGACACCAACAATTGAAAACAGTAATAATAATCATCCCTGTATCTGGAAATTAACGGTATAAACAGTAACAACTAGATGTATTAATATTGAATTTATTACACTATCCCTTTCACTTGACCGAACATCGCTACCACACAACATCTCATGGTCTCTGAGTTGTCAACGGCAACAATTTTGTGTCCCTCGAACCGGTCTGAGTAAAACGAGCCGGATCATCCGATACATTTTGTATGATTTAATTCCCAATGAATTTATTGTTGAATTTAAATTTTCTATTAAATCTTAAGAAATTTTAAGGTAATACAATGAAGTAATATTTATTATTTTTCATCATACTACCGTATTATTTTAAACTCTTTTCAAGCTATGAACTAAACTATAACCTCTGGTATTGATAAGAATTCTAGTATTAATCTCTAAATACATTTCAAAAACTACAATATTTATTCTGAAATGCTATGTATCGTGGTAATTTTATTGTAACATTTCTTCAAAATATTAAATATGTGGTAAAAGATTTAAGATTGAGAGAAAGAAAGAGACAGAAGGTTGGAGGGAGAGAGGGTGAAGAGAGAGAGAGAAAGAGAAAAAGGCTTAAAAATTATTTACTATTGTATATAATTGTAATTTATAATTGTTAAATCGTTTAGAAAAAATTAATAAATAGCGAAATATCATATATCTCATTTTTTCTGTTCAATTCATTCAATTTTGTTATATTTGTATTTGCTAAATTATTATTAGATACCAAGAAGAATATAAATAATTAAAAAATAATAATTTAAAATTCTCAAAATATAATTAAAATATATTTTAAAAATTCGGATCTAAATATTTGAATAACTTATTCAAATTAATTATTTGTCACATTTGTGAATGTATAATTACAAATAATTTGAATTTATAATCTAATGGAATAATTACATTTTATATTAAAGTTAAAATTATTTGATATTGATACAACTTTCTTTCGTTTGATTTTTTAACTGCGTAATTCGATGAATTTTTATTTTTATTCATAAAAAATTATTTATATTTTGAATAGTTTTTGTTATAAATAGATGTTTCTTGACAAGTCTTATTTAGTCGAATGACATTTACCTGTTGTTCGTTCTCAACAGGTATTGCTCTTAATGTATAATATTGATATTGTATAAAAAGGTAAAACTAGAAATTATATAAAATGAATATTTATAAAAATGCCTTACCTAGATTTTTTATTATCTTGAGCTGCATTACCAGCCAATTCTAAAATTTCTGCTGCCAAATACTCTAATACAGCAGTGAGATAAACAGGGCCTGCACAAACACGCTCTGCGTAATGTCCTTCACACAATAGTCGACGGATTCTACCAATTGGAAATTGTAATCCAGCTCGATAACTACGACTCTTTGATTTGATTCTATTGTTTCTGTTCGACATTGAAGCCAGTTTCAACACCGCCGATTGTCGGCATCGCCGGTCCTTTCAGATCTCAAATTTCTGTAAAGACTTGGACGAGAATTTTTCGTCTACTTGTTATGTTTTGGTTTCAAGTGGCCCGTAATGTTTATATGGCCTTCGGGTAATAACATCATCGGGAAGTTTTCTATCGGTATTACGCCCTACTTTTTCTTTCGTCAAATTCTCAAAAGTTCTAGATTTTTCTTTCTACGCCTCGTGTAAGAATTCAGTATAACAACGACGATGCTTTGTTGCCAGCTAAGTAAACCGCCGCGTAGATATATAAGGCAAGCATGCGCTAGGTACATTTTTTATTTTAATAAATAAGCTACTCACACCTCGCACAAGAATAAATCGGGTAATTTCACATTCTCTCGGTCGAACCATCGCTTCGACCCCGTACAGACCTAAAAGAGTCGATCGGGCAAACTTACACTGTCTCGAACTAACATTTCGAAACCGTACAGGCCCGCAACAGTCGATCGGGCAAACTTAAGCTCTCTCGAACTAACACTTCGAAACCGTACAGGCCCCCAAACAGTCGACAGGTGATAGAGCACACTCTCTCGAATTAATACTTCGTCATCGTGCATTCCCTTAAATAATCGACACAAGTGACGCAATACGTCAAGCCCATTGTCAAGGTCAGACAACAATAGATCGACTAATCGACTACAAATACATTCCATTAATTCCTTCAAGAGCTCGAAGGCCTATCATTAATTAATCTTGTGTGTGACTAGTCTTTCTACTACCCCTATAAATAATTAAAGACATAATTGATTACTCACCAAGTTCCATTAGACATCTTACACCATATCAAGTATAGCTATTTCATACATCAAGCATACTTGATGCAAACACCATCTTCTCACGCTACCTCGTGAGCATGATTGACTACACCAGCTGATATTTACAACAGCAGCAAAACCTCAACTTCAAGATACACAGTCATATCCATGGAATGTACGATAATCAAGACTACAATGACACACCCTCATTACTACAATAGAATAATCTTTTCTCAACAACATTGCAATATTATTATTATAATTATTAACAAATAATAAACATTGTTTTACTAAAATACATAATATTTTTCAGCCCTTTCACTTATTATTTCCTTTATAGTTATCCTGACGAGAGACTAATCCACTGAACTATTGAATTGGCAGTTCGAGCCATAAACTATACCCTTAAAATCGAACAGTTTCCTATAAAATAATTATACAATAAAATTGAAAAACTGATAAATATTTTAATTATATATCTGTTCAAAATTTAATGTTTATTTTATGGCTCGAACTGCCAATTCAATAGTTCAGTGGATTAGTCTCTCGTCAGGATAACTATAAAGGAAATAATAAGTGAAAGGGCTGAAAAATATTATGTATTTTAGTAAAACAATGTTTATTATTTGTTAATAATTATAATAATAATATTGCAATGTTGTTGAGAAAAGATTATTCTATTGTAGTAATGAGGGTGTGTCATTGTAGTCTTGATTATCGTACATTCCATGGATATGACTGTGTATCTTGAAGTTGAGGTTTTTGTATAATGTAATATATTTGAGTTCAATTATTATTTATTCTGGTTATGAATTATAATAATATTGTAGCGTTGTTGGTTGCTTCTATTGAGAAAGAGAATTATTCTATTGTAGCGGTGCAAGTTCGTCCTTATGTTCTTTGTTGTTGGAGATTTCAGTTGAAGTTCGTGCTGGCGCTAGTGATAATGATGTGTGAGATGCACTAACTAATAATAACAATCAATGAACGAGGTGTAGAATTACAATGAACACTAAACTGAATTGATAGTAGAAAAACCGTGAACCAGGTGTGTAGTGACTGAATGGATGTTGATGGAACAACGGGGCGGCGCATGGCGTGCTGCTCTTAAATATTCGCGGCATAGTTTGCGACGCCGACAACAGCGCCATAGCCTGTTACTATGCCGAAAACCGTTACGATGTTGTTATGCGGAAATATTGTCGTATATTAGACGCTATGGAGTGAGAAGAATTCCTCAAATCACTCCCAATTTTAAATCTTAATAATTAAAACTGCCTCAATCCCGAACAATATAATTTCTTTTACTAATTTATTTAAAAATTAAAAAAAAATACATACATTTGAATCCAAAATAATTTTTAAACTTTTATTTTGCGTTTATTTTAAACAAGCGTTTTCTCTATTGTAAATATTTATAACCAAGATACAATCTTATATCTAAAGATAGATTAAAAAATTATATTTAAATATATAAAGAGAACTTATTTACTCAATATTATTCAATATTTTTTATACTTACAAATGTTTCTATATACATAATATTTTATTCTATATTTTATATCAGGTCTTATACAATTTATAACAATACACTATCATTAATAAAATTAGTAATGTACACAATGTATTCGCCGTTCCGGCTTGTTTTACCAAGGCCGGTTCGAAGGATACACATTGACGCCGTTGACAACTCAGAGACCATGGGTGTTGTGTGATAGCGATGAAAGGTTACAAGTGGAAGGGATATTATAATAATACAATATAAATATGGCTAATGCATGCTGTTTATTCTGTTATTTATTTTGATGACAAGGCTTGACTAGTATTACTATTGTTCGAGAGTGAAACGAAAATCTCTTGAATTGTATTCACTAGGAAAATTTCAATGGCTATTATAAAAAGAATTATCGAACGGACTTAAAAATCTAAGAAAGTCTCGCCAAGGTTGCTGAAGGCTCGAAATAGTTAATACATCTGGAACATACTCATAAACAGCCACTTTATTGCTCTTCGTACTACAGACGTAGTAATTATTTTTAATGCAATAAACGACCCTTGATATTTACCATCAAAATCCGACCAGCTTGTTTACGCGAGAATATTTTGAGGCGAAAGATATTTGAAAATAATCGAGTGAAAAACATTTCCTAAAATCTATTGCAACCCGAAACTCAGCACATGCGACGTTCGGCAATCTGCGCCGCGCGTGTGCCTTCAATGCCACCAGCAAGCATGCATTGCTGCTTGCATAGGCCAAGCAAAGATACTTTACCAACAATCACCCCCACCTCGATGATTCCCGGAGAGGGGCAAATCTTCCACTTCACACATTACCGCTAGAGATACTCTTTCGATATTCTCATTGTCTAAGCCTAATTTCTTCTGAAGTAGGAAAAGGGCGTGCACATTTATCATGTCACCGAAAAGCGCCGCGCCCTGATTGGAAACCTAAGACCAGAAGCTCCTTGAGTGGGAACTCATGACAAGAGGCTTTAAAGGTGGGAACAAGACAGCGAAAACACGCTGTCCGCGTGGGCAGCCAAGGGCTGTCTGCAGAGAGAATTCGAGCAAACGGCTCGCGTGGACAGTCAAGGGCTATATCAAGGGAAAGTCAAGTAATAGGGACTATTCGTCTATGGAAGCCAAGTCTGAAGAGAACGCAACGCAGTAGTACGTATTAATAAATTAGAGACAAGTGTATTGCGAAGATCCACTGATCAGATCAAGATTACTGCATTACTGTGAGTATAAGAGTCATCCTGCACGCATTTGCTTTGCCGAGTGCCCTGGTGTCCCACTCACTCCTGCCTCTCGAGTGTGAGTGAGCACGAGCCTGATTCACTGATTCAATAATTAACACATATTTCTTATGCTGTTATTCCATTTACTTTCCAATTTAGGGATTATTCTTTTTGAAGAGGTTATAAATGAACCCTTATTATTAATAATGAATGTGGTCTTGCGGTATAGTTCTATCGGAGAACCAGAGGTAGTGGAATTCCTGACCCTTTGGACGAAGCGTGTGAAATAATGATCTACTGTGAAAAGAGATAGGTTAAAAAACTATTAGCACTTTTTGAATACTATTACTTGAGTTTTTTTTAAACAATTCAATGTGAAAGATAAATGTAATATTAGTGTTCAAGATCGGAGCGCTTTCCAAGAAAATTAATTCTCCGAAATTTGTTATCGTTCTAGCTCGCGAAATCGTAAACATTGACTCCGAAATTTCTCGATCATTTAAGTAATCTGCCGTGCGCATATTTAAAGGACGCACGCGACAAGCCTAATTCTTTTAGTGAAGCTCTTTCAGTGAAGACGCCATGGTACGGATCACGGTCTGCCTTAGCAGGACCGCCATAGGATAGTCGATATATCTCAACAGAGCTGCCACGGAACGACTAAGATTCAGTTTTCTGCGCGTATTCAACAGGCCTGTACGCTCACTGTAAATTTCTCAATCAATTAGTTATCAATTATTACTCTACACAGCAAGTAAACTCCGCCTTATTCAGTCAGTTTTATTAAATATACGCACACAATTCAGCCAGACTCTGCAATAATAAGCTAGTAAGCCAACAGTGAAACCAATACATTTAATAACTATTTAAGCGCGCCATAGTTCAAACAATCAAGAGTGCTGATTGCATTCCAAGTGTAATTTCGAAATAAGAAGCGTAACACTTGCTCACTCATGACAGAATTAGGTAAGACAATGAATTTCTGTGAATTTAATTGAACGAGAAGCCATCTATTGAAAATGCAAACGCGCCGGCTTCGTACGGCAAATATTCAAAACACATACGCGCCAGCCTCATACGGCACTGATGGTGCGATAGGCACTATACGATTGCAAAGCTCTCCTAAACGGCTAACGGTACGAAAGGACACTAACTAAAAGGGCATTTTCGTTTGAGTCAACTAAAAGGAGACGCGCTAAACTGCAAGAAGCTACCACACTTGCACCTGTTCTCCGAATGAGGCGTTGTGCCTTCTGGAAGACTACTGTCTTCGGATCTTGTTCTCCGGATGAGGCCCTGCGTCTTCTGTAAGACGTCATTGTAATCGGAGCTGTATTCCGGATTGAGGAGACAATGCCCACTGCATCTCGACAAGTGCCACACAATACTGCCAAGATACACTGAGGTATTGAATCATTGTATTGTCATCAAGAGGAGACTCGTACCTAAAGTACCATATGTGGTATAATACAATGAGTGTCAAGGAGTTACGCCCTTGCACTTCTCAGTGTAGTAATTTCCATCAAGCGCACTACAACAAGAGGATCTGGAAATTTATAACGTTTATAATTGAAAACTCAATAAAAACTCAATCAGTAAAATAGTGAATATGGTCTAATCCAACCACTTTGGTCTTTCGACCACTGGGTGACTGGAATTCCGAACCATTTGAAAATAAAAAACATAGTATTTACAAAGGAAAATAACAAAATTATAATGTTTTAATATTATTACGATCTAATAATAATAGAGTAAAAATTTAATATAAATTATTAACTATTTAAAAAATATCTTATTAACTACTAATTAGATGTCATATAATTAAAATATTGTAATATTGAATTAATATGCAAAAATATACAAAGAATTTTCTAAGCTTTACATATAATTAATTTTTATAGTAATAATACAGACAAAAGTATTATTAAATTAATTACAAAAATTAAAAAAGTCTATTTACTTCAATAAATTATTTTTAAAATTACATATGATTATAGATTGATAATATATTTAGTCTTTTGATAAGAATCAAAATTATACATATTCAATGTTTATTGAAAAGTCAATTCGAAAGGGCTATCCGCATAGAGAAGCCAGGTCTACGGGGAACTTTACGCATTATTACGCATTGGTAAACTAGTGACCAAGTATTTGTGGTGACCCACTGACCGGAAGAAAGATACATCAATCTTGATATACAACTGTCGACGGGAGTTGATACTATCACTTCGGCAGGAGAGGGCCGGACCAACATTCACTCACTCGCCTTGGAGCGTGCTTTTATGAACTTCTCATCCCAGGATCATATCAAGGCTACTGTATCACTGTGAGGATACAAGTCCACGCGACCTACTTAATTATTGCCAGTTCTAACAAAACTGGCATAACGCTATTATTAATAGCACCTCACACTCTCTGACAAGGAGTGTGCACTAATTGCTTGTCTTTCTTAACCTTACTAATTCAATATCGACATCACGATCTTGAAGAGCATCTTGTGTAGTGAAACATCCATCACAAGAAACGTTCCAAGAAATCGCATCTTCACATTAGACCCAAGAAGATTGCAAGACACTAAGATGTAATTGTGTTATAAATTGTAAAATAAATCATATATTTGTACAAACTCACGACATTTCTATAACCTTTCTACTTAACTCCTTCCCGAGCATCTGCTAGGGCGGGCGGCAAACTAACCTATTGAAGCATTAGCAGTTCGAGCCAAGAATGCATCACTAATTTCGAACACATATATATCAAAAACCAAAAAAATTAATATAGGATATATAAATACAATTAACTTAATAAATATAGATATTATAATCATTTCTCTTATATATTTAAATTAATATCAGTTTTTAAAAATTAATTATTACAATTTTTATTGTGTTACATGTCAATATAATTATAAACAAATTCATATTTAAATTATCTTTATATAATTTTGAATATAATGATGAAATTCTTATATAAAAATATTCATTATAGTAATTTAATTGTTTTAATCTATTTTAAAATATTCTGAAAGATAAATAATTGATAAATATAATTAAATGAAATTGTTTCCTCATTATATACAGTGTGAGAATTTAAAAGTAATGTTTTTATTTTAAAATAGTAAATAGCCATGTAAACATTCGTAAGTTATTTTAATAGTAATAAATACAATTAACCCTATAAAGAAATGTAATCTAATTTTTTTTTAATAAATCATTGTAGAATAAGCGAGATCGATAATATAATATATAAAGAATACAATTAAACATATTTATTAACAAAATATCAGAGCCGAAATTCAATTTTGTTCACTGAAAATTAATATTATTTAATTATATTGTTACTTACTAAATTTCAATTATTTTTGTACAATTTTAATTTATTTATGAACTAAATATATTTTTTATTTTTTTCTAAATTTAAAACCATGATATCTCTGATATTATTGATTAATCTTTGAACAAAAAAAAAAAAATATATTAAGTTCATAAATAAATTAAAATTGTATAAAAATAATTTAAATTGAGTAAGTAACAATATAATTAAACATATATATTAACAAAACATCAGTGCTGAAATTCACTTTTGTTTACTGAAAATTAATATAATTTAATTCAATTTTTCGAAATTACTCAATTAATGTTAATAATTTTGTTTTATATTTTTAAAAATCTTTTTTCTTTTTAATTATATATAGTGGTATTGAAGTAGATAATTTTCACGTTTTTTATTTATAAAAATTCAATATGATTTAATTGATATATATATAATGTAATAAATAGAAATGTATTTTTTTTTTCATTTTTCTCTCTAATGTTAAATAGCTATTGTTAAATCGTATAAATACTTATTATGCCATTAATATATTGAATCTACCTTCATTTTATCTATTATTTCTTTGCAAGTAAATTTAGAAATATTGCAATATTTTTGCATTTGAATGATAATATATTTTAATACAATAAGTAGCTTGAAAAATGTTTACCTTGAAATTATCTATTGAAGTCAGTAAGTTATTAATACATTATGACTACTACTTAAGCTTAAATACCTAGCAATAGTTCAATTTGGATTAGGTAATACATTATCTGATCGCCATTAATAAGTTTAATAAGCGTCAATCCAGGGTTTCAATCAATGTTTGTTATTTAATGAAATAGATAACTGTTATTTCACCCTTGCATTTAAGTCAATTTTATTATTCTTTATATAATATATACACAATTATATTTAAAAATCGTATAATAATTATTTTGAATCTCTTCATTAAAATTTTCTGCTATACATAATATATATAATTATATATATAATTTTATTTTGAATTCGAAAAATTAAATCTAATAGAAGTAAGAAAAAATTGGTAACAATGAAAAGACATGAGTTAAGATATAAATAATAAATTCAAAAATATATTTATAATTTTTTGTAATTATTTATATATTTATAATTATTGTATATTTCAGATTTTGTTTTATTTCATTAATTATATATAAATACATATTTTTATACGTTTGACATAGGTAATCATAAGTTGCAAGCTTATCAAATTCAAATATTTAAATGACAATTAACTTAAATTTATCTTTAATATATCTTTGATTATTTAAACTATAAATTATTAGGTATTACTTAATATTTTTAATTCTTAGACATTTGCAAATTGGAACATTACACAAGTTTTAATGTTTTTTTTATTTATTTATTCCTTTACAACTATATGATTTTATTCAGTAACATTCCTGAATGAATTCACATATATGTAGGTTAACCATAAATTTATTAAATTCGTGATTTAATCAACTTTATTTGCTAAAATAAATAAATAATTGAACAGATATATTTTGTAGCTGAAAATTAATTAATCAACTGATAATAAAATGTACTTATTCCATTTGAATTATTTCAAATAATAACATTAATCTACTTCAAAACTTTGAATCCTTACAGGCTTGCTAAGTTTTAACTTTGTTAAGTATACAGATCAGGAATGAACTTGTAATTACTCAATTCATTGAACTCCTTTTTTCTGTAGATTATTTTAGCAATATCTACCTATACATAGTTTTTTTATTCTACTCTTATTCCATCTATATTCTTAAGCAAATTAGTATGCACCGTTATGTAAGAAGTGACATAAAGTCTTTCATTTTATTCTAATTTTATTGTTTTTGGATATTTGGATAATAGTTTACTCTTAATCATATATTATTAAAGTGTAATAAATATATTTAATATAAAGTAAATAATATAAAGTAATATTTAAAATTAATAAAATGCGTTATATTTATTTTGGTTTTATTAATTTTAAAATTTTTATGTAAATTATTTATAAGATTTTCATCTATTTATTATTCTGACTTGTAAATTATTGTTATATTCTGCTATTATGTAATACCTATTCATATTTTAGCTTCATTATAATTTTAACTACTAGGAATATACATAACAGATTATTTTATTTATTAACTGATTTAAAGGTATATTTATATCTACTATTGAATATTTTAATGTTGATAAGCATCAGCTAGCCTATACTTATTTAGACATCAACTTGATAATTCTTGTGTAATTCAGGTTTTATGTTATAAACTAAATCCAGAATTTTAAGCATTACCTGAAAAAAATATTTTTATTAATAAATATATTATCAGGATCATATGAATACTAGATATTCTTGTTAAAACATCATCATCTTCACTTGATTACTTATTATTTTAGGGAAAAATATTTAAAAAGGTACATTATATATATATATAGAAATGACATAGGCTCAAATAAAAGATTTTGATTATATTTTGTCTAATGCTTACACAAATTTTTAAATGCAAAACCATCTTTTTAAATCATACTTTACCATTTATCTACAATTTTTTAATTCAATTATTTGAAATTTTACAATAAAATATAATTGTCTAATCAGAATAACCTTGTAGAAAGGTTCATATTTAGAAAAGTTTCATATTCTAAAAGTTATTAGATAACAATTATCTCGTTAACAGATAATAATAACTGGTTCATTATGGTAATTAATATTTTAATGTATGAAGTCTGTTATGTTCAATTGATGTAGAATTCAGAATTCAGAAACCACCAAAAGTACTTTGAATAAGAGGTATAATCATGACTCACCGTTTCACAAAAAAGATGGATTCATATGAATAACAATAATAGCAATAGTCAATTTTTGGAAAAACTATATTCTTAAGAGTGCTGTAACTACAGTTTTAAGAGTACTTTATAACATATTAAATAAAGGCACTACAAGGATATTAATACATTTGATTTCCTTATCAAGATGTAATAAATTTAAGAATTTTTAAATTAATTTATTAAAAATAATAATGATCTATTAAACTTTTATACCATTGTTTGTTATTCATAAAATCACAACAAAAACTAAGAAGAAACTTTAATTGTTAAGTATGAAATATGGTTGAATTCATACAACTACTACACCTAAGGTAATGTGCTATTAAAATGAATTAAAAAATTCATAAAAATTTTTGTTGTAAAATTTAAAAAGAATCACATTTAAATGTAACTTAATAAATGAAATTACAATTTTAACTAATTTATTCAAATAATAAATCTTGTTTTATAAATGACATCTTCAAGAAAAAGAAAAATTATTTTAATATAAATTATATAATAAGTATATATTAGTATTTCATATGAAAATGAGAAATTTAATTGAATGCAATTATTGAAAGAAATAAAAAATATATATTGTCTGGGATCAGACTGAAAAACCTCCTTTAGATGTTGAGTGGTGGTGTTGTTGGCAAGTGGAAGGGACAGTGCAATTATTCAAGACTACTTGTAATGTTTATCGTTGTTCCTTTTATTAAATATAATAATATAATAAATATTATTAATAATTATAAAGTATATAAATAATGGTATGATAGATTAAATATATAAAGTTTCTTTTATATTGTTGCGTGTTGATGAATATATTTCCTTTTTTGTTGTATAATGAATAAATGCTATCTTAGCATACATTAAATTGTTGATGTTTGTGTTATACTTTGGTGCCGCGCCTATGTGTACGTCGGTCTTATCTGTGATATGATATTTTAATAGTAGTATGCCTGATGCCATGCCTGTGTATGCGTCGGTCTTATTTGTGAGTCGCTTCAAATGATTTTTATGTTTTCACCGTTGTTTTATCTTAGCACTAATACGTTATTAATTTAATTTTAGTTTAATGAATTTTAGAATATAATGTTACTATTTCTTTCTTAGATTATTCACTTGATTGATTATTATGTATGTATACCGTTAAAACTGTAGTCACTGTAGATGGATTGATAATGTATAGTGCGTTAGTTGTAATGATTGTGTAATTGTTAGTAGACTGAGGCAAAACTGAGCTGCTGCGTGTGCAGCGCAGCCCTAAAATATTATTGCACTATTTCTTAAACGGCCATGTTTGTTACCATGACGATATTGGTCGTGACGTCAACAGGGCATAGCCTGGAACGTTCGTTGCTAGTGTTTTGTTTAAATAATTGAATTGTGCATTCGTACCGCTCCCACTTTCGACTTTCAAGTTTTTAATCCGTAACATATATAAATTTACTAATATACTTACAGTATTTTTATGTACTGCTACTTGATTATTCATTTCTTCAATTTTTATTCGAGTGTCAGCATCAATCCTAGCAGCTACATCCTCTTTTGACCCCATATGCTAAAAAGATTTAAATACAAATTGATACATATTTATATATATTTCAAATATGTAAAACTTTAATAAAATTTATATCGATGCACATACTTTCTTAAATTATATATCGTATAATAAAAACTCTGAAATAAAGATTACTTTAAGCATTCCATATTGTATCTGATTTTAATACTAATATACTATTAATTATACATAATGTTAAATTAATTTATATATTAACATACATTTGCTTATATTCATTCAATTTATATATAATCTATTATTACATATTGAATCAATTTAGTGAAAATTTATTGGATATAAATCTACTAAAAAATGTTCTACAATAAAGTTAATCGAATTAGATCTTGGAATGCATTCGATCGTAATGTATCAGAAAACATATCTTTACATACTGTTCAAATAAGAAATCAAATAAATTCAATCAACTATTCCATAGAATCAAGATTTTCATTCTCAAATTACCAAATTTAAAACACTTAAAAACTTTTGCAGCGTAATAGCGTATTCTATATATCTACTTTTTTTTATCTTTTCTGTCTTTTTTTCTCTACACCAGTCTAATAGTAACACATTTTAAAATAGATTTTACTTACTTAACTAATAGAAATGAATATTTAAGAATAACTATATATGCAAAATAATTATTAAACAAGATTTTTGAAATTACTTTTTTGATTATTCAATAATTCCAAAGAACTTGAACTCATTCTTTAAAAAATGAGATATAATTTTATGCCTAGATATAGTTTACACGAAAACAGAATTACACTCATAAACTATGACTAGGATGGTCATTCTAAATAGAAAAAATGATCGTTTTAGGTTGATTTAATTTTTTTTTTATATATATAAAGTTTGACAATTTTTGTATTTATCATCTACATAGAACTTCTACGTGTATGCTGATTAATTAACTTTTTATGTATTCAAACTGCAAGAATAGACTTATCTAAAGCTATAATTCTAAAGATACACTGCAATCATTCACTATAGTATGGAATAAGCGCAGCGCTATATATTACATATTTATACATATATAAACAGAATAAAGAATCAACTGAATAAAATATTACGTTGAAAAGCAAGTCGTGTTTATGAGTGCATCAAGCCAATTACAGCTAAGGAAGATAATTACAAATAATAAAATTTTTTATAAAGCATGCTACATATATGTTTATTTATTTTAAGACTTAGAAAAAGTAGAAAATATACAACTACTTAACAAACATAATCAAATTGTTTAGTTAACAAATACCCTAGCTTTATAAACACATATAAAGTATGTATATATATATAACATTAATAATTACAGATTATTATCCTTTATATATTCAATACCATTTACATATTGAATAATGGCATACAATACAAAATCATATATAATATTGTTATAAATAAATTATAATTTTCAATAATATAATTATAAAACAAAGAAATTTCGATTATAACTTTCAACTGATTTGTTTTCATAAGAGAATCGCTAGAATAAAAACGGTATAAAGCTATATTTACATATATATATATATGTAAAAAACAGTTTCTTTTTTACTAATAAATTGTATGTCAAATATGAATATGTTTAATTTAAGTAATAAATCTGCTTACTATCATTGGTTAATTCATTTATTATAATTTTTTTCTTATTAAAATGAGAAAGAACTGCAATTTTGTACTAAATATTGAATTTATGGCTTTTAAATATAATTTATATAATTTTATTATAATCTTATATAAAACAATTAGTTACCTTTGTTTCAAACTCACGAAACTGCTTTTCACGTTCTTGCCTATACTTTTCAATTTCATCTTGAGCTTCTTCTTTCGCTTGCTTCAATCTACGAGCTTTGCCTAGAATTACATTTGTTTATAATTATTAATCCCATTCATATATATAGTATTTGTAACATAATTAAAAATATTGTAGTTTTTAATCAATTGGTTTTAATAAAAAAATTATCTAGTGAACAAAATTGTCTGGGATCAGACTAAAAAACTTCTCGGTGATGTTCGGTGGGGAGGATTGCTGGCAAGTGAAAGAGGAAGGCGCATTAATTCAATGTAAACAACAGCGTATCTTGGGTTTTCTCTTTATTTACGGACTACAATGAATATGATTCTAAGATGATGCTGGAATCTGTGAAATCCTTTCAGTATTTTTCACGTGGTGATGGTATTCACTACCTACAGCAATAAGAGGTGTAAATCTCTGGTACTTCCTTGAGTAGTGCCACGTGTTGGTGACGATCTAACATCTGCCCCTTGTAGCCGTAGTGTATGTTTCAATTGTGGCCGTCGCGGAGCCTCCTTGTAATGTCTCTGCCCTTATAGCCGTGGCGTATGTTTCAACTGTGGCCAGTCGCGGAGCTTCCCTGTAATGCCTCTGCCTTTATAGCCGTGGCGTATGTTTCAACTGTGGCCGTTCGCGGAACCTTCGCGATTCAATAAATACTTAGTAGACCATGCTAAGCTGTGGCTCTTGCGCCTTAATTTATGATGAATGTGTAGGTGATGCGCTTCTAGTTTGATATTCACCTTTGAGATTAGATTATTTCAGAGCTTGGCAGAATTATGTACGTATATTATAATTATTTTACTGGTATGTGGCAGAGTTAATAACTGATGACTGATTGATTGAAAATGCTGATGAGGGTATAACAGATGCGAACGATTGGTAAAAGTACAGTGAGCAATAACTGATGATTGAATGATTGATAAAGATACAGTGAGCACCGGTGCGTGGCAAGCTGCCCTTAAAGATTAGCATGGCAGCTTGCAATGCTGTTAGCAGTGCTTGGGTTTGTTGATAGACCGAAAGTCTTTATGACGTCAGAGCGAGGCTACAGAATATTCGAGAAGTTTAGGACACGGCATTGGAAGGTTCGAAAATTTTCAATCGTCGTTGCTATGGGAAAATATTGTAGAACGCTAAATAATAAGGCGTGGACTAAAAAGAATTCATGGAAAAAACGAAATGTAAGAAGTTTGGAGAATTCCAAGCGACGTTACTGCTCGAAGACCATATCATTGTAGGCCATTTGAAGCCAAAATATAATGTACAAAATGTACTCGCCGTTCCGGTTTGTTTTACCAAGACCGGTTCGAAGAATACAAATTGATGCCGTTGACAACTCAGAGACCACGGGTGTTGTGTGATAGCGATGAAAGGTCAAAGTGAAAGGGAGATTATAATAATTCAATATAAATATGTATATGTATATGCTGTTTATTGTTATTTATCCAATTACAGGACGTTGACTAGTATTACTATTATCAATTATTGAATTCTCTTATGGTGGATTATTGCAGTTGCAGTGGCAAACATACACTCATCTGGTACAGCGTGATGGTTCGAATATGAGCACAGAATGGCGCGAAGTTTGATTCGTCGACACTCGCGCTGTTCGTGTGAGTACGTGCGTAGTTGAGGTTACAGTTGTAATGGAGCGCGACACGTGTAACTGTTATGAGTTGAAAATATATTCAGATTGTAGCAAGCGTACCTTTTTCTAATATTGGTGTACTGCAATAGTTATTCAGATGGAAGTAAGAGTTTGAAAGACTTTTACCTCGTAAAGGATACTGGTACGTGTTGCGTCTGCTACGAGCGTTGAATGGCTTGCTGCATAGATTCATAAGCGTCAGACTTTAGACTAAGGTGAGGGTAAGGCCAGCAAGACTCGCATCAGCTGGCGTGATCTTGACGAGTTTGGACTTATTCCGCACTGTCTTTCTGGTGAGAACCTCTTCATCTTTGGTTGCTTGTAGATGACGTAAACTCTGAATCTTATATTTTAGTTGATTATTGTAATAGTGATACTACTGACGAAGACTAATAGTAGACTTACGAGAGGAACTTTCCGTTTCCTTCTTCAAGAGGACTGCCACTGGACACTTGTCTTCGGACTCCTTGAACTACGTTAAAATTGGACTTCCACTTCTTAACTGAATAAGTACTGTATCGAGTGTTTGAATATTGAAAATGAGCTTCTTAATTACATTTGCTGGTCATGAACTTCACTTGAATCCCTTCCCTTATTTTCTGTCCAATCAGAGTGTTCCTCGCTTACAGAGCGAGGGCATCGCCTCTTGTGGCTTCATAGTCAATTAAGGCATAGTCATCTCTTGGTCTTCACAGCAAGAAGAGCTCTCGTTGCCTCTGACGCATCTGGCGACAGTATGACAACTTGTTGACAGAGGAAAGGGACCAGCACATACCGCTTTGAATTTAGGTACGGTGCGGAGCGAATCCGTACAGATGCCTAATGAGTTGGGTTTTCCCGAGTTTATCATCTTGTTTTGCCAGATGTTTTATTGGCAAGGACCGTTCGTACAATCTCGAACACATAACAAGTACACGAAAATTCGCGTCCAAAGTGTTTACAGAAACCTGAGAGCTGGAGAGACTAGCGATGCCGACAGTCGACGGTCTTCGAAATTGCTTCAATACCGAACAAAAATACAGTAAATATTTATTACTGATTATATAAGTCTTCTAACGGCAAAAGATATATTGAAATATAGTAAATAGTATATTACAGGTAGCAATAACTTTCTATTCTACCAAAATTGATCTGATGTCTAAAAAAAAGTTCTATTTTGTTCTATTATCTTTTATATTTATATTGTACTCATTAATATTCGTTACAGAAATTATATATTTAAAACCTCATTTAAAAATATTTCGAATTTCAAGTCTTAAAAAAGAATTTTTAATTAAAGTTATGTAGGAAAATATTAAGTTTTTTAAAAACAATGTTTATCTTGAATTTAAAGATTATAAAATTACAAACTGTACAAATATTTTTCAGATTTATTCATTTTTATACCTGCTTAAGGCATTTGCAAAAATTGTTGAAACTATAAAAGTATTTTTAAATATATTGCTTAGTTTCCGCCTTTAATTTCCAATTCAAGACAAAAGTTTTTAAATTAAATTGAAGAATAACTTTAAATCAATTACAGTAGACAAAAAATATATAGTCATGTTAATAGTTCAAAGGACTTCTGGATTATATAGTATTTGTTATATAAATAATTATTTGCAATTAAATAACAAATACATATATATATATAATATAAAAAATTTCTTTTAATATTATAAAATGATATCTATATTGAACCAAGTGATTTATAAATGCAAAGAATTATTTTACTCCATTAAATTGGGTACCATATAATCGCATTCTAAATAAAATATTGTAGAAGTATAAAATTATAAATTTTGTTATATTTTTGTATAGGTATATTAATTTCAAATATTCATTGAATTGATGTGAGTTTTTACAATACCATCATTGAATTATATATACTTTATGGAATCATTATGGATTAACAGATTTATGGACTTTATGTAGATCGGAATCTCACATCTAGAAAATGATTTATTTAATAAATTTCTCAACAACAAAAAATTATGCAAAAATAGTTAATAAGAATTAATAAACAATATTTAAATAATAATTTTTATACATTTTTAATTAGTTAAATTTTAATTTTTTACAGCATATTTCTATTTGATATATCAAATATTTTCTTCTATTAAAAATTTGTCAGATTACTATTACCAATGAACAGAAATAGTATTATAAGTATAGGGAGTAGGATTCATAATAATTATTGTATATTGTGATGAAAAATGCTAAATGTCAAGTGTTAAACTTGTTGTGAAGTTGTTCTAAACCACTACTGCTCGGCTTACTCAAGCAAATGGTGAAACTCTATTATCTAGACAATCACTGTAAATAATTTTTTCATTATAGTTACAAATTGAGGCTTAACTTATAAAAGTAAATATGTAGTATAACTCTAATGCTCTTCTCAACTAATGATATAGGCACGACATTGATTTCAAAACATTCGGCTTTTATAAGGTTTTGTAATTATTATTTTATTCATGTTCTTCTAGATTACAGGCATTTAGATTGTTATAAGATATCAATATAATATTTATATAATATAATATTTTGTGCATATACTTTAAATCATTACTAGATATATAATATTTTAAATGTTCAAATAATGGTAAAAGAATAATTGTAAGTAGCAATGGTAATGTGAATGGAAATTTAATTAATAAAATAATAGTTTATTATGATTTTATCAAAAGAAACTTCAATTTATATATATTATATTATTAATATTTCACTAAAAAACCAATATAATCAATATCATTTACAAGTTGGTGCTGTTTCTAATATTTAATTTAACCAAAATATATTTTATATTTTTATCTTAAATCATTCACATCATAAAATTATCTTAACATTATTTAGTTAATAAATTATAGCATTAATATTATATAACAACTGATTAATATGTACAACTACATACAAAATAATTTAATTAATTTTTTTCTATTAATTTTACTAATCAATCTTTTTTTATAAATTAATTTTTTTTAAACTATCTATAGGAATTAAAATCTAAGTAAATAAATAGTTATTTCGTAGTGATATGTGAATCATTGAAGTAATTTTATTGCATTAAATTTATTTTGCACATGCATGAATTTTAAATTTTAATTTATGTTTGTTCTTAAAATAAAAACTTACGTTTACGAGCATCGGAGACTTTTTCAGCAGCTCGTTTTTCTGCAGCCAGTAACTGTTGAATTCCTTGTGTTTGACTAGCCATATTTTTTACGAATGAAGAATAGAACAAATATCTTATTAAATGCGTAAATCACGAATTGATCATATGATTTTAAAGGCTCTTACACAAAAACCAATAAAGTATTGTATAAATAATAACGAATCAGAAACAATATTTAAAAGTAAACGTCTGTTTTATTTTTGAAAATATTAAAATAAAAAAATATACTAGTATTTGCATATGATTCAAAACTATAAATAAATACTGCCTGTTTGAAAATGTAAACAAAATCTGTATTATAGGAGTATCTGTATTACGTGCTTTGCGTTAGTTCTTCCATAAATGTAGTATTGTTTCATAGCCTAAAATATATTACGTCAGAATATTCATGTAGTATGTTTAATAAATATAATCAGTGTATTATATAATATGAAATAAATACTTTAATTTATACTAATATAATTAATATACAATTAAAATAATCCAAAAATAAATACCAGTATCTTTTTATTTTTTACATATAAAAATTTGATATGTTAAGTAATGCATAATAAAAAATGTATACTAATAATTCATTAAATTTATAGTTTTCCAATATATTATAATATCTTTAGATTGTAATAAATATTAGATACGCATGCGCATTGCTTAAATATAATTTAAATTATTTATCTAAGTACATAACTTCTACAGCTTAATAAATATTATGTCATATAAATTTAAGTTTCTAGTGTTTAAACAGTACATTAATAATCCTCCGTAATTTCGACTGATAAATGTTTTACTTACAAAATTAATACTATATAAAAGATATTAAAATCAAGAATATCATACTGCAATTAACATAAACAATAAAAAATAGATGATTAAAACTAGTCATTTGATTAAATAAATCTATTAAATAAATGTATTAAATGAATTTTTTTATTAAGTAATATTTTACTATTATTCACATTTGTTGAAACATTTTTATATTTTATATGAATTTTATATTCTTGTGGCGCGGGTTCTTGATAACCAATAAACTTGTATCTCTATTGCGCATGTGGTGAAAGAATGCACTATAATATCAATGCTACTAGTAACTAGAGATAAGTGTTTTAAAATAAATGAAACTGAATGTTGGTGTAAAGACTAAAGAGTAGCGAAAGTGAAGAGCATCATGTTTGAGTTAAAGGAATTACAAGTAAAAGATTAAGGGAAACGAAAATATGGAGCACACAAAAACGCAGTCGACTTCTCGGTTGCTTATTACATCTTGTATCGAAAATAAAGATGAGTTGGAAGAGGTAAGCATGATAGGAATATATGGTAAGTCAAAGAAAATACAATATAATTATTTAGATGAGAATCCCATATGCTATCATACATCTGCATTGGTTTTAAAGATAATAAATGTTTGGTTCTGAATTTCGGGGGCGCTACGTATCATATACAGATCGCCGCCAATTTCAAATTCTTTTAAACGGGTTCATTCTTTTGCAGAAATTCGAACGATGTTACATTGTGTTACAAAATTTGAGTACTGGACTATCAGAAAAAGAGGTTCATGACAGTCTTAATAATGCTGTTTGTAAAGATAAGACTCACGAGGAAGTGTGCCTGGGCCTGTTAGTTGTTATCTTATCAGAGCCTAAAGAAGCAACCAAGAGTTACAGAGATTTAACTCTTGTCACTCGTGATGGCTTAGCTATTGTTTTAGCTCATTTAAATCAGTTGGTGCTAGAAAGATATTTAAAATTAAATGATATTGCTAGAAGCCAACTTTTATGGCTTCTCCGTGAAATGATTAGAACCAGTGTTGCTAATGTAGATAATCTTTGTTTGAGTTTGTTAAGACATGCTGCTGGTGGAGACGTTTCTCAACGTAATCTTTTCCTCATTGATGCTCTTTTAGACATATTTCAGGAAAATAGATTATGGCTAGACAAATTTCCATTTTTGGTAGCATCAATTGTATATACTTATCTTCGATTAATAGAAGATCATAGTGCAGTTCACTTATCAACACTTAGACAAAAAGAAGTTAATTTTATGGTTTTATTAATAAGAGAAAGAATAGTAGAATGTCTTGTCATAGGAAGGTGAGTCTACTTTCTAATAGTATCGTGTAATTAGCAAAAAAATTATAATGAATATATAATTACTTTATAGAGATCTAGTACGATTATTACAAAATATTGCAAGAATACCAGAATTTGAAATACTTTGGAAAGATATGCTTGTAAACCCAAAATCCTTGAATCCAAATTTTACAGGAGTTTTACAATTATTACAAACAAGAACTTCAAGAAGATTTTTACAATCAAGATTAACTCCAGAAATGGAAAGAAAATTGGTATTTTTGACAAGTCAAGTAAGATTTGGTAATCACAAACGATATCAGGAATGGTTTCAAAAACAATATCTTGCAACACCAGAGTCCCAAACACTACGTTGTGATTTAATAAGATTTATTGTTGGTGTAATTCATCCTACAAATGAGTTGCTTTGTTCTGATATAATACCACGATGGGCTGTAATAGGGTGGCTTTTTACAACTTGTACCTTACCAGTAGCTGCAAGTAATGCAAAATTAGCACTTTTCTATGATTGGCTTTTTTTTGAATCAGACAAAGATAATATTATGAACATTGAACCTGCTATTCTGGTTATGCATAATTCAATGAGATCACACCCTGCTGTAACTGCTACACTTTTAGATTTCTTGTGCAGAGTAAGATTTAATTGACTAGAAAAATATGTTCATTTGCAACTGAATAATCAGTATTTTAATTTTTAGATTATACCTAACTTTTATCCAGCTTTAGAAGACAAAGTGAGAAATGGCATATTTTCCTCTTTACGTCAAATATTAGAAAAACGTGTTTTACCAAGTTTATATCCATTATTTGACAGTCCTAAATTAGATCGAGAACTGAGGACCAAAATAAGAGAAACATTTAAGGAATTTTGTTTACCACCAAATATTGATGCTGGTTAGTCATTTAGTATAATTTATCATTATAAATTTTTCATGTTAAAATACATCATTCATGAAATTTTCAAAAATAGTGTCATATAAAAAAATTTATAAAAAATTTATTAAAATCTTTTTTATGTCATTTTATTATAGAGTATAAGGTAAGGACTAATCAATTTAACAATTTTCTTATACATGTATAAATTTTTTGCATTATTTCTGGAAGGTAAATATGTACTGTATTGTTATGTACTGAATGAATGAAAATATCACAATATCTTTAAGCCAGATTATTAGGTACTTTTTAAAAATTTTCCTTATAATGATTCAGTTAATTGATATTCAAAGTATCTAATGAAGCTCTAATATTATAGTTAATAAATATTATGTATATTTTATAATATATGATTTATTGGAAGATACAGCAATATGATATTAACTTATGTTTATTAAATATTAAATTAGTATGAAGCATAGTTAATAAACATCTAATTTAAATATAAAACATCATACATATTAAACAGACTTTAGTAATGAACATATAGGTGGTGTTAATTTTTTTATTTTTATATAAATTTACAGATCAAAAGTAAGAGTCAACTTAAATGCAAATAATATAAATAAATTTTTGTTTAAAAAAGTAGTTTGTACAAAATTTCTTTCCATATTTTACTGGGCTTTACTGATATAGGCATACTTAAAAATTAATTTCAGTTACCATCAATTTATATTTAGGAATGTGATTAACAACTTATTGTAATTTTTAAAATATATATTAAAAGCTATTCACATTTTATAATGAATCATTTATAATAATCATCAAGTAGTTTTTAACTAAATAAATAGTATTGCATATTAAATTATGCATTATTTACACAATTGAAAAAGGATTAAAGAATTTAAAGTACTTATTAAAATCTTATTAAAATTAATGTTAAGTATGCATGTGTATATGTAGAATTCAAATAAATGAACATTATTAAATTAAACAGATTCTCTTTTTAGATAACAATCTTACCGTTATTAATTAAAATTTGTATTTGTAATATGCAATATTATAAAATTTGAATACGATACAATACTATTATATATTGAATTACGTATATATATTTATGTATAAATTATAAAGGTCACATATTTTTACTGGCATTTATGTATTTTCAATACTGGTAGAAATATATTTATAATCCCCACTATAATAATCAATATAAGGAAAATTACTCAGTATTCTTCTTTTTTATAATTAGATTATTGTTTAAATTTTAGTTGCAATATACTATCTAAATTCATTTTTCATCTATAATAAATCTCCCAAATTTAATAAATATTAACATTTTCTAACATTTCTAATATTAGACTGATAATCTTATTTGGAACACAAGAGATCAAAAGCTAAAATTAAATATTTAAAATTTTAACAGTTCTATGGTTTGACTTTAATCTGGTTTCTATAAATCATTATGTCAATTTCATAAATGTCAATAAATTGACAATAAATATTTCTATCAATGGCTGTTTTACATGTCATATTTCTGATCAATTTGAATTCTTTTTTTTATAGAAGCCAATTCTAAAACAAATACTGTGTAAAAAAGAATGAGGTAGTATAAAAATACGAATATGATCATATTCCTTTGCATAAAGATCAATGTACATGTTGCAATAAATCGAACTAAATTTTGGATATTATTTACATACATTTAACTGTAACCTTCGTACAATAAATCTGTCTTGTTATTAAATAATTAATACTATTTTCCAAATGTAATATTTTTTAAAAGAAAATATTTTCGATTTTATGAAATTTGTGTTTAATTATAAATATTAAAAATGTTCATATTAAAGCTTTGTAATTACAATATTTGTTAATGTATTATGAAATATTTGATCAATTATCTCTACAAATATCTACAAATATCTCTAACCGAATATCACAACTTTCATTTAAAATTAGGAAGTCATCATTTATCCATTTAAAACAAACTTATTAAGAAGAAATCTATTTTTATATTTTTAACTAACTTGAATAGTACTTTGTTTTTTCTTGATACTTAGGTCAAAAATAATAAAAATCCTACTTAAGAATGTTGTTTAAATTCCACTAGTTTTTCAGATCCCTGTTGTATATTTTTAAGACATGACACATTAAATATTTTATCTTTGCCTATTTGGAAACATCAATTTCAAAGATGTATGTTATTTCTCATCGGTTTTACAAACAGAATCTATTTATCTTCTTTGTACCTTCGGAAGAAGTAGGATATAGTATACTTTTACTATACACTATACTGCTTTTAGATGAAATAATTTGTATTTATTTCAATTACAAAATGGTTTAGGGTTTAACATAAATCGAAAATAAAGGTGAGTACAAATGAAGTTTAAAATTTAAATCAGCACTGAATTTTATATAATTAATATTTATAGTTTTATATTACTTTATTTTTATTTATAGAAAATTGTTTAACGTACTGATGTATTTTTTATATTGTCATTAATACTCTCTTATCACTTTTTTGTATTTTCGTTAATTTCCCTCATATATATAAAGGTTTTCTTTTTTGAACGACTTTATTATTAATTTGAACAATTTGTTTTTATTATTTTGTTCAAATAGGTAAAATCGGTCAGTCTATATCATGGCTCATTGTATGATTGAAATTGACAAAATCGTGTTATATATATGTGTAATTTGTTTATTAAGAATTTATACATAAATATTAATTGTACAATAATTTAATATTATTTTATCAATGCATATTTATTTGTGCTTGTACTCGTTATTTATGTTCTTTTTATATACTATTATTAAGTATTTAAACAAACAAGCAATATGTGCCTATATTCAGGTAAAATAGAAGAACTAAGTAAAGATTTAAATACTGATATGGCATTTGATAATGTTGATCATTCGACAATGGGAATTCATCAATTAAATGAAGAAGTGGAACCAGTATTTAGCGATGAAGAAGAAGATGTATCTTTAAGGTAAATTTAATATAACAAAATTAAAAACTATTTATAATAAATAATAAAACTCTTATTTCTATAGGATGTCTAGAAGAAATGAAAACATTGATGAAGAAGATCCATCTTTACCTGCGATCAAGTTGAGAAACGAAGTTAATATGCGTTGTAATGTTAAAAAAGATTTATCATTTTACACAACTTTAGAACCTGAAGAATTAAGAACAGTAGTAGAAAATTTACATTTTGAATTAGATAATGAAACGAGATGTCAAATAATGGAAAGAATAGTACAAATGATCATTCAAGATGAAATTGATACTGAAACTATGCCAACGTTGGCTTCTTGTCTTTCAAATACACTATCGAAGCAAATTAAATTAGATATATTCCCTATAGATAATCTAAATGATGATGCTCTTATAGATAGTATAAGTACACCATTGTTTGTAATGTTCAGAAATCAATTTCAATTATGTAAAGAAGAAGATAATAGAAGGCAACTGTTAGCTAGAGTTTTAGCTGAATTTCAATCTATACAGCCAAGAATAGGATATTTACTTTTATATTTTTTAAAAATTTGGGGTAAAGAAGAAGAAAAAAGGGAAGCTGAACATAGGTGTGTATAATTATAAAAATGTTTGTTATATATATGTATGTATGTTCATATAACCCTATTCGTTTTTAATTTCTAAACAATAAAAAAGTATATTATAATGCATATTCTAAGGCCTATTTTTATAATAAATTTTATGGCATTTGACAATCCGTCTCCGTCAGCCATGATTTTAAATTGGCCACTCAAATATGATATTAAAATCAGCATTTGAGTCATTTGTATCTGTTGAATAAAAAAACAATTACACATTATTTAGCTTGTATTGTAAAAACTATTTTTTCGAATATAATTGTGAATTTCAGATAACATACTGAAGTTATAAAATTGAGTAAATAATTGTACATATATTATATATAATTATATTTGAAGAAAACTGTATTATTTTATAAATTTGAATACATGAATAAAAAGTATAAACAAAAAAATTTATGTAGAAAAAAATATTAAAATTATGTACAAAAACAAAAGTATACCAAGAAAAAGTTTCTCATTATTTGTTAGCAACAACTAAATTTTACCATTTTAAACTTAGTATTGGACGGTATTGGAAAGTATATTTCTAAAGTTTATATTCCTTATTTCATTAAAAATGTGAAGTTAAATAATAAATTATTAAAATAAGTATTATGTGATTCTTATGTATTTGGATAATTAATGTATAAAGTATCTAATATTATCTAAAAATTATCTATTGCTATGTGGATTGTTTACTTTGGATTAATTGAATACTCCAATCTTTTAAATTGAACGTTTTTGTATAAAATAATTAATTTATTTTATTTAATTTTGAAAAAATCCTTAAATGCTGTTACTAAAATCCTATTTTAATTTAAAAATAATATGATTGTCAGTGTGTAGTATAGTACTACTAAACGTTATTTGTAAACGTTAGTGTCTATGGAAAAGATAGTTTAATGTAACCGATAATATAAGAGTACTGCAAATTAGGCATTTAAAAAATCTATGAAAGCAACTTTCTTCTTTTTATGGACAAATTTTCTTGAAGCAACAACAAAAATGTTTTCATAAAATAAAAATGTCTATCAAAATTCAGATATAAAGAAACAGTTTTTAGCAAAATAATCTCAAAGTAGGTCAAAACATGAAACCAAAATTTCAGTTATATATAATCAAATACTTCTCATAATTTATAATGTACTTCTCAATTAAAAAAAAACAGCAAAGCTTCTTTAGAAATAAAATGGAACAATGTTATACAATTCTGGCATTCAAAGTTTATTTTTGGCTACATACATATTAAAATAAAATATTTTTCATTTCATTAAAGCTCATGAATATTGTTTAAGTATGGCTCATATATTATTTCTATATATTTTTGTAGCTTCTATCATATATATAGTTTTTATTTACATTTAATGTAATACTTAAAGAAATGCTTAATTTCTGTTTTGGGTATAAAAAACTATCATTAAATTATATTATCCAGTCATTTAAAACACCAAAAACAAGAGATTTTTGTAACGTTTACTTCTAGATCCGTATATTATTAAATACATTTTTTATTTACTCATTCTAGGATTAAATAGTATTAAAATCGATGATAATACTTTATCCATTAAATTTATTCGTATCATTTTACATTCCAACAAACACTGTATTAATGTAATTGATATACGTATTAGTAATAGTTATATATTTATTTATAGAATACACTTTCAAAATAAGTGAATTAATAGATGGTGAAGAAGTACTCTTGTCACATAACAATGTTTAATTAATGTTTTTAATTTTTATTTTTAGTTATAAAGAAAAGTTTTACATAATTAATTTTATATTCTATTACTAGTTAAATTAATTAAAGTTAATTTTGTTATGTATTAATAATGATATTACTATAGCTATAATTGTATTACATCTTAATTAAAAATATCTGTAATTTTAATTATTGATAAATTGATCTAGATCTTTGTAATATCAAATCAAATCGTATTATTTGAGATATATTCTTTTGATTCAATTCAGTTTTTACTTTTTTAAAAAATAATTTTTTGCTACCTTCTACCACAGGCTTCGTAATCTGCACAATTACTGTATATATAATAGAAATCGCATATTTTTATCTATAATTCCAATAAATATATAAGTAAAATATTTTCATTTTTTCATAAAATTTTTTGAAAAATTGTAACATTAAATATGTATATATTTAATATATAACTGCAACTTTAAATTTAAGTTTTAAATAAAAAAAAAAAAAATCTTATACTTTTTGTAATATCATTGTTGAATGTATAATTAGAAACAATGATATAACTTTAAGAAAAAATTGCTAATGAAATAATAGTCTGTTTAGACAGAGTCGGATACGTGTTAAACTTAATTTTAATGACAAATTTTTCGTATATTTTATTATATGTTTGTACTGACTACTGTATTTTTAATTGTTACAGCAACATTTTAAATGATATGAAAGGAACAGTGTATAAAGATTTTTGTTCACAAAGAGAAGAAAAACTTGATTCATGTTTACTTTTCGATCTAAAGGTATATATATAATATATTAATTTATTTTAATAAGAAATAATATAAAGCTTTTCAATTTACAGCGTTGCCATGAAGACAACGTTTCTATGCTCTGTTATATATTGCCCGATATTTATATGGAATTTCAAAATTTAGCTCTTGGTAATACACAACTTCTTCATTTAGTTGTTTCTACCGTTGATTCGTCACAAATACAGGATTTGGTATGTCAAATAATGCAAGGTCATTTAAGAATGTTAAAAAGAGAATCATTGTCATCTCTTCTGATTGCTAGTTTAAATTGGGAAACATTTGAACAGTATTGCTTCTGGCAACTAATTTTTGCACATGATTTTTCAATTGATTATGTCTTGCCGATTCTACCCAAATTACAATTCCGTAATCACGCCGAAGCCTTAACATCTATTCTTTTAATGTTAAAACAAGAAAAGTAAGCGGTACCTTAGTATTATATAGATTATTTAATTATTTCATAATTATAAAGTTGTAAATATAGGCAAAATAAAAATATTTTATATATTTTAGACCCACGCAAGAACTTTTGAAACAACTTTTAACTAGACAAAATACAGAAGGTGATATGTTTGTAGTAGCAGCATTGAAATACTGGTGTCGAGAATATGAAGATAAACTTGGAGAGTTATTAGGAACACTTTTACTCAGTCGTTATCCAGTAACTAGTCCTAATAAACGAAAACGTTCTAATATAAAACATAATCAAATATCTGGATTACCATCTGGGGAACAAGTATTAGGTCATTTGGATCAATTACGACAATATTGTATTTCAACATCAGAATTACAAATTTATCAATCAGAAGGTATGCAGAAAGCTTTACAGCAGGCACAAGCTGCAAGCAGTGATTCTTTAAGAAAAAGTTATGGTGATTTATTTGCACTCGCTGAAGTAAATGAAGAAAATGAACCCCCTGTTTCATTATCGACAAGTTCATCTAAAAAACATGCTCCAATATCAATGAATCTTACTACCATTAAAGGTCATCGAAAAACTACAATAAATGCTAGAGAAAAATCAACTTTTAAAAGAGCACCACCAAGAGACAGAAATACTGAAAGTAGTGAACAAACTAGTGAAGTAAGTATTAATGGATAAAAAATTACAAATTATATTAAATAAATAAAAATTATTTAATCTATGTATTATAGGATGAAGAAATTGTTAAACCAAAGCAAGCAAAAAAAAGAAAGAAAATAAATCCTGTGGGTTCAGATACCGACTGACCATTCAACGTTCATATACCATTAAAGATCCGTTTGAATATTCAGCATATGCGAAAGAATTATACTAAACGTAAGAGTAGAGTAATTGATGACGACGACGACGATTATCACGACTACTACGAGGATGACGACAATGACGATCATTACGAGGACGATTACGACAACCATCACGACCACTCCGAACACTACGAGGATGACGATGACGACAACCATGATAACCACGATAATGATCGTGGTGATGGTGGAGGTGGTGCTGATTATAATGGCGAAAAATAAAATTATGTATAAATATAGGAAAATAAATCAGTTTAAGGGAAGTACAGTTTGAAACATTAAATTAGTCGATAAATTAAAATTAAACTTAAAATTTCTTATAAATTGTTCTTAAAAACAATTATTCTTAATTTGTAAGAAAAATATAATTTATTCAAATTTAAGCAAAACAATTTGTTTTTTTTTTTAAATTCAAATGATATTCTGGATAAAATTTTAATCTATTGTAGATTATATTTTATATATTGACAATAAATTATATAACTAATTTATTCAATAAAAGTAGCCCTATATTAATTGTAAGCACCCGTTCTAATCTTTTATTTTACAAAGCTTGTTATTTTTCTTATTCATCAAGTTTGCATTTTAATAATTTTATATAATTTTTCTATTGCATAAGTTCTAATAAAATACATAATATAGTATCAAATACTTCTTTATTATATGATATTTAAAACAAATTTTTTTATTAAAATTTTAAGTTTATACATTTTGTTATTTTATGTATTCAATATACTATATTAACATTTAACATGCTAATTTAGATACACTATGTTAAGAATGTAATTTATAAAAATTTGACACATCTTCAATGAAAATGTCTTAACTAAATAAAAAAAGAATAAAAATTTTAAATCCTTTTATACTTTTATATGGTACTTGCGTGTATATACAGATATAAGTTTGTGCAATAATATTGCGGAATTTATATATTTTTATCGTTAACTTATGAAAAATGAAGTTTATGATATTTTTTGTATTTTCCCCCTAAATATGTAATAATGCAGTAATCTTGTTCGTGGTAACATATTTTATTTTTATATGTGTATAACTTAAAAATTGATTTCATCTAATTTAAAATTTTTGTTTATGATTATTGTGAATTCCATTAAAGCTATAATCAAATTTGATTTAAGGCCAAAATATTTTATAAAACATATACCCATTGTGATATGAAGACAAAAAATTATGGGTTATACATTTTTCGCCTTTAATACAGATCGACAAACCAACTTGATATAGAAAAACATTGTTCCAAGAATTTAAGATAATAAGTTCTTTAATTATTTATACTATTATAAAATAGCATATGATTAATTCTAGATTATACGATTTTTTTTATTTTGATCTTTTTACTAGTTTTTTAAAAACATTCTTTCATTCAGAAGTGCTCGAGTTTTTAATTGTATTACATAATATTAAAATATTTATGCTATTGTATTATATTATAATTTTATTTATACGTTTGTATTACCATATTTCATATAACAAATTTAATTTATGAATTAATGTATCAGCGGTAGATAATTTACAAAATAAAATTTATCTAAAATCTTTATTCTGGGAAGACGATTTATATTATATATTAAATATAATATTAATTAACGTAATTTTTATATTTCTTATTTAATATTTTCTTCTTTATTATATTTCAAGATATTATAGTGCATATTGCTAATATGTTGTATTATATATTAATATGCTGTATTATATATATACTTCTTATTTTAATTAATTATATATGAATTTTGCATAAATATATGTAGTATAGTAATTTTTATGATGCGAGATATGCGCTAGATATCCACACATAACAGCTACGTATAATAAAAGTGGAAAATATTGTTACTTATGGAATATAATTTCAACATAGCATTCTAGAGGGCGTCATAATAAGTACTAATAATAAGTAGCAATAGAATGACAATAAGTTTCGATCTCTATTGTAAATACTTGGAATTGATGTATTATTTTCTAACGTTTAATATATTACATAATTTTTATTTTCTTTATGTATTGTAGAAACGCTTAATTTTACTTATTTATCAGTTTTTCAAAATAATATATTTATATTTGATATATATATTAACATAAATAAAATGGTAAGTTCTTTCAAAATTCAGTTAACGTATAATTAATTTTTCATTATTTTTTATTTTGTTCAAGTCTAACAAAAAAACAAAAAAGGCTTTTGGCAGAAAAAATTCTTTAACTTTTCAATTGGTACACAGATCGCAAAAAGATCCGTTAGTAGCAGATGTAACTGCACCACAAAGAGTATTAGTACCATTAAAAAATTCAAAGGAAAATCCTGAAAATAAAAGAAAGTATAGAGTTTATTTTGATAATGATTATAATTATCTCACACATTTAAAGGATGTTAATGTTTTTACAAATCAATGTGAAGAAGTTGAACATTTAAATAATGAAATTAGAAATCCATCAATAACCAATAAATTTAATATTAATTTACCTTCTTCTGTATTTGAATCTAATGTTCAAGAAAAAATAGGGCTTTTGAATAAAGGAATTCCAGTCGCAGGTCCACAATTAGATTTAGATCCAGATATAGTTGCTGCTTTAGATGATGGATTAGAGTTTGATCCAGATGATGAATTAGAAGATAATTTTGTTCAATTAGCAAATTTAGAAAATCATATCAATAAATGTCATGAAAATGATTTTGGTTAGTGTTTAATAGATGCAAAATATTTATATTCATTTGTATGCATTAATTAAAATAAAACTCTAATAATAATTTTTTTTTAGAATCAAATACATATAATAAAGTAAAAGCAGAAATAGATCATTTTAGTTTTGACCAATATAAATTTCTAGATGAAGAAACAAAATCGTATTTTACAGAATATTCTATAAGTAGTAATGTCATTAGAAGAAATAAAGAGCTTAATTTTCTTGATAATAAATTTGAACAGGTTGGTATTGATATATTTATTTATTTATTTTATACATTAAAATGTATTATGATATAGATATTTTAAATATAGATATTTTAAATAATATATATACAATTAGTTATATTCTTAATCAAATAAATATGATTAAAAATTTTTTGAACTTATATTATTTAAAATAAAATTGTATAAGATTTAATGTTACATAAATATTATTTGATTTTATAATTAATATATAACTTTCATTGAAAGTGTAGATTTGATATTTTTTTGAGTTGAGAAAAGTTTCATATACATATTTTATTCATAAATGATTTTTTAATTCAATATTTATCTACATAATATTTAATTTGTAAATTAAATATATTTTCCTACTTTATTTATTACCCATTGAATTTATAACTAAATATTTGAAAATTTTTATGGATCAAAATTGACATTAAATAATATATATAATCTATATTTCATAAAATTATATTTTATTTTATAAATTTATATATTTATTCTATTATTAACAGATGTATGTGAATTATGATGAAAATGAAATTGGTGATTTAGATGGTGATGAAATTGAAGGATATTTAGAGTTAAATTCTATGGTTGTCCTACAATGTGCTGAAAAGTATGAAAAGTGTCAAAAAAAGAATGTGGGTTTTATTTAATATATTAATAATTTTTTAAAAATAAATATAAGATTGCATATTTTGTTTTTAGATTGAAAATATTACAAAATTAATGCAAAATCAAATGAAAATCTTTAATAATGAATATTTAAGTACAAATGAAAATGAAATTTACTTTGAAAAATTCATTGCTAATGTACAGGAAAAAAGTAAATGGGATTGTGAAAGTATTATAAGTTCATATAGTAATACTTATAATAATCCAAAATTGATTTCAGAACAAAAGGTATTTATTAATATGTATATTTTATACTAATTTATTGAAATATAAAAATTAAAAATGGGAACTGTAGTAGGCTTTAAAAATGATTCCATTCTATTAAGATCTATTCAGATTTCAAAATATTTTTTATATACAAATTTTTATAGAACCTTTATAGTAATTGTATTTTAAAAATAAAACACCTGATGTATTATCTTAATATCAATATTTTTATAAAATAATAATTACTTTTGTTTGAGTAGCTTAAAATCAGATGTTTTTTTTTTGTTGATGATAGCATGTCTGAATTTTGAAGAATTATTCTACAATGGTATATATAGTCTTGATTAAATTTCACTGTGTCCTACTCAACCACCATACATTTTATTTCATGGCTGATACAATTACAGCTAATTTTTGTTACCTTTTGTCATTGCAATTCATATTTGTTTAAATTGTTATTACTATTTGCATATTGTATCCTACAAGTTCATTATTCTTTATATTATAATTATAGATTAATCATGTATGTTATATTATTAATCATGTACCCATGCATGTTGTAAGTATATACGAATAATTTTCTATCGTACAGAAATATGCCAGCTTACAAACTATAAAGAGAATGTTTCCCAAATACTTCAAAACTTTTTATTAATTAAGTTATTTTACTTCTGTATCTCTCTATACTTCGTAATCGAGTTTATGTGATATATTATTCCTCATACTCAACATTATTAGATTATGAGTTATTAAAGATTTTCTTAGTTAATGAATAATCTTTATTTGTAGTGCTTGAATTTTTAATTAATTTTTATTGTGTATATTTAAATATTTATTTTAGTGCTTATTATTTCCATGATATTAATTCACAGATTTTATTAATATATAAATAATCTGAAGTAGCATTAATAGGTTTTTATAGTATACTGTATTCAAGAAAATTCATTCACTAACAATATCTTGATATCACTGGTAGAACTAATTTCATGTTATATCAACTAATAGTGCAATTAACTTGTATAGAACTATTAATACTTGAATATTAACCACTGCAATTGGTACAATTAATTTATTTTACTTTAAGCTTCAGAAGATTTATTCATTGAAATCATTTTTATACATGAATGTTAAACTTTTTATTGAAGTTTGTATCGAAAATAAAAAAAATTTGTAAAGAAAGAAATAATGCATAATTTTATAGAATATTTTTTATAGAAATTTTAGTTTTTTTATTATTTCAAATGCAGTAAAGCCTGTCTAAATGCTAAATTCAAATTATGGGTACTAAAAAAGGATCTACAAAATTATCATGAAAAATATTAAAAATATGTATATGAATAAAAAAAGGAATAAAAATTTTAATATGAAATATATTTTATATTAATAAAATTATAACAAGGACACGAATTAGCATAAATAGCTCATTTTAGATCTCATACATTTTGATAAGTATTTATGTAGATACATACTAACTAAATATTTGAATACAATTAGTTATTTATAAAAATTATTTATAGGAATATTAATTAATTTTACTTGTAAATATATTAATGTTTTTCTTTTTACAATTTTGTATTCAGAACTCGTACAAAATGAATCTGAACTGCAAAACCGGTATTCCAAAAAATGTTTTAAATAAAGGATATAGAAATGAATTGGTGACTAGTCGTTTTGTTAAACATCAAATTGAACAAAATAATTCAATAAAGAATGAATCAGATTTTAATAGAAATGCAATAACGTCTTCTGTAGATGTTTTTAATTTAAGACCAAAAAATGAAACTTCAGAGCAAAGAAAAAATAGAAAAAATTCTATTAAAATTTATAGAAAGGTAAGAAATAAGTCGTAAGAACTAATTTAATTTATTTAACATTTTTTAACATGTATTTAACATAAGAAATTAATTAAAATTAATTAATTAAATTCATTAAAATATTTATAAATAAGATGAACAATATCTTGTACTTATAAAGTAAGTGATATAAGTTAGCATAATACACGTGATAGCCACGTAAATTAAGTACTGGTATTAATTTGTTTCATTTTCAATATAGCAATATTTCGACCATAATATTTTACATTAGCAATATAATCAAAAAGTGGCTTCTTTGTCACAATATATTCAACAGTTTATGCATAGTAGCACTTTCTTAATATTCTTTTGTATGCTTTATTAGTATAACTAATTTTTATAGATCTTATATATTCATACGCATAAGAGATAAATATAATAAATTTTAGGTACAATTACATTGTTCAAATTTAAACTATATTTTTTTAGTGTAAGTTTCAATTAGCCAATTAACTATTTGATATAATGTATGAAGCAAATTAAGTTGCTAGTCTTGGTGAAATCCTGAAATCATTATCTCGATAAATAAGTGGAAATTTATTACCATTCAAGTACAATAATCTGTTTATTGATATGTTAGAATAGTAGTATTCCAATATTAGATCATATGTATCTGATTTTATCATGAATTTCTTGTTCTATAATAAATTACCAATCACCTAGAAAATTTAAATAGTTGTAATGATTTTTGATATTTTTTAACTAGATTCTTTTAGTCTTTACTAAGTCTTTTAAGTTAACTATTTAACGACAGGGTGATTTTATATTATAATGTTATTTCGAAAATCATTACAACTATTTAAATTTTCTAGGTGATTGGTAATTTATTATAAACTAGATTTTGTAAACGTCTCTGTTTTATTGTTTTAAACAATATTCAAACCATTGTAGGCGTTACTGGAATTTTTACTATAACATTTATATCTACACCTGGATATAAATAGATGAAACTGTAAATATATAATATTATTAGTTAACCATTAAAAAAAGCTATCTATGTTATTTCCTTGCAAATATAATAAAAGTCATTTTGAAAAATTAACAGTATTCAACTTCAATTTACGTTTTATCAAACAACTGTACACGTTGATTTTTTAAAATGATTTAATTTTTCTAAAATTAATACATAATTATATTGTTAATTTTGAACACCAGGGCTACTGTGCTTATTAATCATTTGTTGACTTGTCTATACATTTTTTTTAGGATTGGTCTTGCTCTTTCAACTTTTGTTCACTTAGATGATTTAAGATAATTACATTACTTTAAAAATATTTTATGTACTTTATAACACAAGTAAAAGCATTTAAAAGCGTTCTGTCATAGGCTTTAATAATATTTTAATAGCTTTTATAAATATAATTTCATTAAATAAACAGAAGTTAGTATTTCATACTTATCATAATCCGTGAAGAAACAAATGCGTCACTAATAAGATAAAATTTATAAATAATATATAAATAATTATTATTTGTGAATTGATATTTTTGTGAACTTTGATATTTTTATATATTGTGTAATTATAAAAATTGTATAATAGATAAAAACGTTTAAGATGAAAGAAACCTTTCTTCTTTCATATTTATTATTTTATTTTAATATTAAATCTTTTTATTGTAGCAAAGGAGAAATGAACGTAAAGCAAATCACCAAATATTTAAAAAAGAAAAAAAGCGACAAGAAATGATTATAGTTAATACAAAGAATGAGGTTCAGGGAACTCGCATTTTATGAATTACATAAATATTAAATGGTGTTTAAAACAAATTTATAGCAAATTTTTAATTATATTAATAGTGATTTATATATTTACATTGTTTATAAATTATGATTTCAAGATAATTTATGATAGTTTTTAGAAACTCAAGCAAATTTCAATACAAATGTATAAATAATAATAATTGTTGTAAATCATGTTTTAAAAAAAAAAAAATTAATAAATAATTTTTAATCTAATGTATATGTTAAACATTTAATTTATTTTGCATCATGGAGTTTTTACGAATTAAATAATTCAAGAAACTAAGCTACAAGTTTCTGTGAACAAATGACTCCAAGGTCTGAAGTTTCCTTATAAAATATTTTTATGAGTTTAAAATGAGGATTACAAATATTCAGAGGCTTAAGCCAAAGAGCCAAAGAGAGGCTGAGGGGAGAGAAAAAAATATATTCAAAAACAAGTTGAGATGAAAAGAAAATTAAAGTTTGAACATGTTTAATTAAACACGTATGAGTAGGAGAGAGCATATCACTCAATATAACTCTACCTCTTTTAAAAATCCTATCTGTTTTCACGAGTAAATCACAATCTATTAAATTTATATATATATACGCGTGTACACATACTTATTATCCAATATGAGATAAAATTGATATATAATAGTTCAACCTACGTAAGGTTACTTGAAAAGAGGTGACAAGGCATATTATAATCAACGATCAACCTTCTTAATAAACTAATGTAGAAGACAATAGGTTTTTCTTTTTTATGAAAAATTTCAGTTTTTAAAATTGTTACACATAATATTTAAAAACTAGTTCATGAAGGAGTCTTGACATTATCAAAGCATTTTTTATTCAAATATTTTACGTATTTTTTTATTTATTTTTGCAATTGTTTACTATGTCTATATTTGATAAATTTGTTAAAGTAAATAGTTATTTGTAAATTAAGGGTACAAATAATATCTTTAATAAGACAATACTACAATAAAAGTATAGTTAATCAAATATTTCTAATAAATTATATTTTCATTGAAATCTGTTTTTTGTTATAAATAAAAATAAATGATTCTGTTATAATAAATATCGTGAGTAAACGATATTGAAGCTCTGTTACTTTTTAGTAAATATTTATATCTTAATAATAGTTATGATGATTATGTATAACTATTTTACGCCATATATCTAATCTAAAACAAAGAATGCTACAGTCAAATTATCATTCCACAAATTTAACTAATTAGTAAGTGTTCATTATTTCGTTAAAATGAAATAATATTTAAAAATATATATTTTTTTAAAACTACATTCAAATAGTAATAGAATATTACTTCTCATTTTTGCAATGTCGAAGTATATGCTAACATTCAATACTTGACGTACTATATCAATAGTGATATAGTATATGCTATTATACCTAATAAAGAAATAAAACAATATTGTGTAAATAGTATTTACTTAATATTTTTTTGGCGTTTATTTTTGTTTTTTTTACTCTTCAAATAGATAACATTAATTTTTAATTTATTTACTACAAAATACAGCGTTATTATTTACATACCTCTACATCATGTCATTCAGTTTGTTATTAAAAAAAATCTATAACAAACTTTCATCAAAATTAATAAATACTAGTCATATTTTAGATTTAAATTTTAATTACTATGTGGGTGAGTAATCTCGAAATGAGTAAACAAAAAAATATTTTTTTAAAAATGGTATACCTAGTAATTTTTTACTAATTATATATTTTTTTTATATATTACAATTTTTCGATTTGGACAAACTCAAATTGTATTTTATTTAATCATCTTTTAAATTCTAGTCAAAGTATACTGTACATTACTTATTTATCATTTTATTCAGTTTCGTTATCACTTTCTTGGGTTTATTATTTTATCTAAAAGAAAAAATCTTTTCACTTAATGAATATTAAAACGGTTAAATAAAGTTGTACACATTCGTAAAGTTATATTTTCTTTTTGACATTTTTAATAAACACCATCCTATTTATAATTATTGTGTAGAATCTTTTAAATTGATTGTAACATATTCGAACACTTTAGACAGTTTTTTTTATTAATAATAAGCATTTTAAAGTTTATTTATTGATCCTCGGGGAGTAAGTGATGATAAAAATATATTTAATAATTTTAATATTTAAATTTAATAATTTAATAATTAAAAAATAATTAATAATTTTATCTAAAACCAAAAATTAAACGAATTCTAATATTACCTGATGCTTTATTTCTAGGTTTTATAAGACAAAATTATTGACCATATTTTTTAGGTTTATTTTTTAAATTCTTCCTATTTTAATTGTAACTCTAAATCTCTGAATGTGTTACATTTAGTAAAATTAGTTATTATCAATAATGAAATATTTAAAAATATTATTTAATTATAAGTTATCATTTTAATATTTGGAAAAATAATTCTGAATTAACTTAATTTGAAAATTATAGAAATGTAACTGCTTGATTTTGAATTAATTTTCTATAATATACTTTTCTATCAAAAGATACTTTTTATTAGCTGTATTTAATTTTTTTCAATTAAATTTTACACGTTTGTTTATAGATAAATTCTAAACTAGTTTAATGTTTGCTTAAAAATTCCACAATTATGAAATTATAGATGTAATTATTTTTTGACAATTCTTCAAATCGGGATTTTCATAAATGCCAATAATTCTTTGATTTTGTTTTTAGCAAACAAATCAGTGTAATTTATTTCTTCAATTTATAATATTTTGAAATAAATCATTCATATTTTCAATTTCCATAATTTTATTTTAACTTACTTATGACTTATTATACAAAGAAAAATGGCTTTTTATCAATCTATTAAAATTTTAATTATTATACATTGTAATGATTTTAAATGTTTTTTGTTTTTTTTTTAAATGCTTTTCATTGTATATATATATTTATTTATTATTCATAGTTTAATGTTAATATATATTAATATAAAAAGTTTTTGGAAAATCCTTATTTAAATGAATGATATTTTATGAAGACTATCTGTAATCATATAATAATAATTATTTTATATATAAAGTCAAATTAAAAATTTATATTGCATATATATTGTTTAAAATTTTGTTTTATGTATAACAAGATCATAATATTTCAAATAATTTCGAATAAAAAATATTTTATAGATATCTATATCTTATTTATTTATGATACACAAAAATTATTACTTTATAATTTGGTATTAAATATTTTATATGCATGTATGTTTCATACATTATATACGATTGTGATTGTTAATTATTAATCTTCTTCATATTTAAGCGGCTTCGTAGAAATGCCAAGCTTTATTATAAAATTTAATTCACGTTTTAATTTATTTTGTAAATCAATCTGTAATGTTAAAATTAAGAATAAAACATAATTTGCTTGTATTTCGAATAAGAAATGTAAACTTACTTTATTTCTTTCTTGGTCAGTGAATAAATTATATATGAATTCAAATGCTGTACCGAAAAATGAAAGTGACACACCGACAATGAGTACAAGAAAAACTCCACCAACATTTGCTAGTCCAAGCTCTTCTGCTTGACCACCTCCAGAATCTTCCTGAATATAAAAAATACATACATTGACAAAATTTTAATTATAATAAATCATTTAATTACATAATATTTACTAAAAAATTAGTATTTGTTAAAATATAAAAATTAGGCACATATATATATATATATATATATATATAATAATTGTTATGGAAAGTTAGAATAATAAAATAAACTAATTTATGTATATGATCATATAAAAATCCATCTCGATATTTGACTATCTTCCATGAAAGGAAATGTAATATTTTATATATAGAAGAAATTAATTTGCTCTACATGTAAAAAAACAATTTTTATAGAAAAAAATGATCGGAATTGACTGAGTGATATTCGGCTCGTGACGGTGGTGGGGATTATTACGAATAGTTGTCGCCCTCTTTAGTGGTTTGATCAGAACCAATTTATTGTAATGTGACCGGTAATGACTCGCAGTACTAATTTTAATCTTAGGCAGGGTCTACTGTTAGAATCGGCGCCCTCTCTTGCGGTCTACTATGGACTCATGTCAGAGGGCTTCATTGATACGGTAGATGTGTGCTGCGTTCGTTTCGAGCAGCGTGATCGGTAAGATCTCGTCCTGCTAACGAGTATTAGGCCGGGCTCTATCAGTAAATATGATAGATGTAGACCGAGATGCGGTCACGAGAATTAGACGAGAATTTACAACTAGTGTAACTAATATTAATAGCTGGCCAGCAATAATAATAATCGAATAATAATAATAATAATATACCTTGCAGGGATTCCTTCAGACGAGTTCGACTTTCACAGATATTACTGACACTAGTTTCACTTAAGTAATTCAACAAGACTGATTTTCTTCTCCGTTCGTTGCTTCTTAAATACGATTGCGTACATTTGGTGTTATGAATTCCTGGAGGCTTTAGTGAATTCTCTGGAAGCAAGCTTTGACAACTTCGAGAAGCTTCTTTTGTTGCTATGCGGACAAAGTGCGCGGCTACATTTCCAATGAATTTTTGTAACGTATAATTCGAATATTGCGTGTTAATCTTAAATGTGATATATCGGAATCGTATTTTAAAATTCTTATTTTTTGTTGGGTGGTTCAATCATGAACAATTATATTATATTTATTATTATTTATATTTATTATTATTTATTATATATTATTATATTATGTTTTCGAATTACATATAAAAAGTATATTATTAAATATTAATAACCTTTTATTTAATTTAAAAAATTTTCTTTCATATGCTAATTATTTTTGTTTATTCTTATATGCAATAATTTGTGTATACTATTGATACGAAAGAGATTATTCTATTTCTTTGCAGATAAATGCTGTCGATGAATCCTTGCATTAATATATAATAATATTTTACTGTTATATGTTAACAACATCCTTCTGCTTCGTGATTATAAATGTAATGCAATAATAACAATCTATAGTTTTCAACTAATCGTGTTAAGCTTGTGCCATATAGCATTTAGAGCCAGTAATAGATACATTTTTTTTTCCCAAGAAATTAATATGTTTAATTTCTATCTTCATTATCATTTTTAAGAATTCTTTATAGTTATTAAAGAATAATCATACGAATTATCTAATTTTTTGATTCGTTATAAAACTAGAGTTCAGGTTTGACGCACCCATTAATAACATTTTATTCCATGAAATTTAAAGACATTACAATTCGCAATATTAGAAAAATTTGCTACGAAAATTCTCGGTAAATGTTAAAGCCTTTGTATAAGAAAGCCTCATACTGTATCCACATAGCGACAAATGAAGATTGTCGAATCTACTAGAGCCTACTTTCCGAGAATTAGCCACAATTTCCAAGTATTATAAACTCTAAATGTACGAAATCACATATAAGAAGCAACACACGACGAAGCAAATTAGTCTTGTTCAGTATGTCAAAGTGAAATAGTGCAAGTCACAACAGTTAAAAGTTCTACATGTCTGTCTACGGGAATCTGTGCAAGGTATACTTATTTGTTTACATTATTTATTATTTATTGCTGGCTAACTATCGGTACGACCTCTGCAACGTGACTCCAGTCAGACCGCATCGACGACCTAGACTGACATCTCCACCAAACTATTTGTATCACATATTATTATTACGGCTCAGCGCCGACACTATCGGTCACACCTCTGCAACTTGATTATTGTCAAACCGCGGAAGAGGGTGCCGACACTGTTAGGTAGTCTCCACTAATCATATCACGCCGATTCATTCCGATGTAAAGATCGCCGATGAGAACGCTTATGGCTTCGCGACTCTTGCGATTCTTTCCCCTGTAAAGATTGCCGATAAGAGCGCTAATCTTTTATAATTTATATTTTTCTAAAATATTTATATACGATATATATTGAATTATTTATTATTTCATGTTGAAAATATAGTTCTTTGTCTTATTTGATTTTATGATCAAGTATGATAAGAAAGTAAATTGATTAACTTATTTAAGAATATAAGAAATATTGATGATTATAGTAAATAATAGGACAACACTAAATAGAGTTAAAAAGTAAAAAAGTTAAACAGTTAATGATGAAATATGAAATTACCATTAAAGTTCAATAATTAGTTTTGTTATTAATTTGATTTAAATTTATATATAAATATATGATATAAATATATGATATAATTTATATAAAATAAATGATTTTATAGTAATAAATCTCATATTGAAGTATAAAATCTTGTATAGAATCTGTTTTGAATATAAATTTTTAATGCTTAGTATAACCAATTTCAATAATCTGAGGTAATACAATAATATTGATTTTATTTTTAAAAACAAAATTTTGCGCATCCCGCACTTACTAATCTGTATCTTATATATAAAGAATTGTATATTATAGTCTATGGTACAATCAAGCTTTTATGCATTCTTCAAATAAATTTTGCTAAAAGTAGTTTAAATTAGTCTTTGCTGCTTTTAAGTTTTGTAAGATGAAATTTTGTATATCCTATAAGATTATTTAATTGTAAAAAATAAAAAAAATATATAAATTTCAGAAATTATATAATATATAATTATTATTACACTTATTTAACATTAAAAATTATCTGCCAATTTGTTGTAAAAATATTTCATCATTAACAATTAATATTAAAATTAAAACAACTACAATAAAAACTAAGGGACTAAATATTTATACTTACTTGACAGTGTCCTCCACCACCCTTTTCCTTCCACCATTTATTTTTTAATGCAGTTAGTATACCCATTTCTTGTAGTTTTAATACTGCACCACTTAATTCATTTCTATAAGTAGCATCTGAAAATTAATATAAACATTTATTACAAACTTAATAAGATATATAAAAAAATCAGTAGTTATTTAAAATTGAAAGTTTATTTTCTGGTCCGAACTCCTAAATTCAATAGTTCAGTTTATTAGTCTTTCGCCGTAGTGATGCGTAGGAAAAACACATGTGGAAGGGCTGAAAATATGTACAGTATGTAACTTTGATTTAAGGTTTATTCTGGTTTATTAATAAATACAATATTGCAGTCTTATTGATAACTTCTAGTAAGAGAGAGGAAATTATTCTATTGCAATAGTGAGGTTGCTTCTTCGTAATGGTGGTGATGTCATTGATGTTATAGAGATTAGCAATGGATGTTGATTATTGGGTTCTATACTGACGTTGTAAGGATAAGCAAGAACAGTCGACCATGCTTATCAGATGAACATGGGAAGATAGTAATAGTAGTTAGTAGTGCCTAGCAGGGAGAAGTAACCATACTCGAAAGGGGAAGTATGTTAATGTCTCTGTGGTAGTTATCATGGACAATCAACCATACTCAAAAGGGAATATGGGAGTATTATTGAGCTAGTTATACGTAAGAAAGATAATTGATATACTTTCAAAAGCGGAAGAACTTGATATCATGAGTTTTATAGTCGAACGGCTGTCTGCCCTTGACGAATTGTTGTTTATGCGGACTGGAGAAGTGAACGAACGTTCTCTGCAATGACTGCAATGTGAGAGCGTACTGCGCTACCTTGTTGTTTATGCGGACTGGAGAAATGAGCGAACGTTTTCTGCAATGACTAGACTGGGAGAGCATACTTCGCCATATTCTCCTTAATATAGAGAACTGAACGAACGTTCTTTGCGATGGCTGCACCGAGAGAGCGTACTGCGTCAGCTTCCTGACAAAGACTCCGTACGAAACATGGCTCGGGCTTAGATGACTAGCTTGAACAAATAATTGAATAGTGGCACTTTATGAACTACCGACAGTGTGTATTGAATGACTGCTTAACTTGGCTCACTTAAATGGTTATAATTATTATGGCTTCACAGTAGACTTACTAGCTTTTTATTGCAGAGTCTGGCAGAATTATATGCGTGTATATTGTAGACTGATTGCCAGGTATGCGATTGAGAAATACTGTGAACAATAACACGTGAGTGAACTATTGGTAAAATTACAGTGAGCCCTGATGCGTGGCGAGCTGCTCTTAAATATTCGCGTAGCAGCTTACGACGCTGACAACAGTGTACATTCTACGTGTATAATTTCACCACGTGCATTACATATAGAGGACCAGAAGATTACGCCCTTCTACCACATTACCGCTCTGCGGCAATAGCAATACAAACTCAAGAAACGAAGGCATTCATACATCAACTAAAAATCATTACAATACAACTAATGCAATTATCGCAATAAACTACAACCTAAACTACAAGCTGCCGCACGAGGCACAACCTGCAGATATCACTAGCTGCCATCAAGAGTACAAAATCTGCAGAACTCACAAGGTAAAAGTTCCATTCTTTAATAACGATAATAATACACAATATGCCTCACAAGGTAAAGAACTGTAGAGCGACCAAACTCACATAATCAGCAAACGCATAAGGGGCAAGTTTAGTTCCCACTAGATAGACTTACGAGACGCCGTATGCGGCAATATCTGCAGACTAAGATGAAGTGCCACCAAGATCACACCTGCAGAGGTTACAAGGTAAGCAATAAGACAATAACAAGGCAAACTCAAGCTACTGCCACGTACCACTACATAAGGAAGCACGGGGGTTGACGACCTTGTTCTTCTACGTGTATAATTTCACCACGTGCATTACGTATAGAGGACCAGAAGATTACGCCCTTCTACCACATTACCGCTCTGCGGCAATAGCAATACAAACTCAAGAAACGAAGGCATTCATACATCAACTAAAAATCATTACAATACAACTAATGCAATTATCGCAATAAACTACAACAAATACCAAAGCTATTTATTATTGAATACATGCACTATCCTGTCCACTTGCCCGCAATCCTCCCATCAACCATCTGGGAGTTTATACCAAACTTTAGATATTTGGCCCTCCTCGTCCGGTACTCAATTTTTAGACACGGTTCGTAACTTAATAAGCCGTGAAGTGAAGAATCTACATTAGATCTCTGGACTTATTTGTAGTTGTAGTGTTACATTTTCAGTTTCTTCTCACAGGCTTGATAGGAAGCTTCCATGCACAAACTGCTTGCATTTGAACTTTCCTTTTATCTCCTTTACTGAGATGACGAGAATCTCAGTCCTTGTGCGATATTTGCTTGATGAGACTAAATGATACTGAACCACAGAAATAGAAAGATGTTTTACAAGACTCAGCTGATCAACTTTTCTCTGTTCCTCTTTCTTGAGATAGGTTGTGACTTTTCGTGAGAATAAGTGTCGGCACATTGCATTGTCCGTCTTAAATATTTCACTGACCCGGTTCCACTTGTGACCCCTTCTTCTTTCCTGTATCCAATCAGAGTTCGACTTTGGGCAGCATGAAGGATCATGCTCACCTTCATTTCCATTTTCTTCCGGGTTTAGTCATGAATATGGTAAATCGGGAAAGTGTCGGAAAGAGATGGGAGTTCTACTATTCGTCGTCTCTCCTTTCTATGGGACTTAGCGATATGAGGTATCCTCTAGGGCGTGGTCGGTTGGCTAGCGCGATCTACAAGATGCGGCGTAGTTAAGATCAATGTAAGCATTGTCAAAAGATACCGAGTGCGCACGTACGCCGATTGGTTGTTGTCGCACGTGAGGGGTTTTGGATTGCAGTGAAATTTATGAAATGTTTTGTACTCGATAGGCTACGTATATCTAATACTCTTTTAGAATCTCCGTCTTCTTGGCAGTAAACAACAAGATCATTTAACTGCATCGGAAAATCATGATCACGTTTTTTAGATATGCGAGAATAAATAAAATAACTATTCACGAGTGTTTTCCAGATGTATTGACCTTCTTGAGTGTCCAACGACCGAGGGAAGTTGTGGTAAGAAAAATTTTCTCGCAATCTCGAACAGATAGCGGTTGGGATTTTTCTCCAAATGATAACATTCGAGAGATTCTCTGAATCTCGAACACATTGAAATAATTCCTAAATAGTATGTACAAAATCGTACATATACAATGCTATGATGTTAACGATAAAATTAGTGCAATAATAAAATATTTTATTATTTTAATATGTATTATAAAAAAAAACTATTGAAAAATCATGTAATATACACATTTAATTGAGTTGAATACAAATTGTAATTGTAAATTGTAATTGTTTTCATCTAAAAAATAATTTAGTAATGCTAATTAAATTTTCTATTTTGGCGCACTGAAATTTAATTCAATTCAATGTTTAGTACTATATATTATAGTATTAATCTGAATGATCAATGTCTCATAGTCAAATACAAATAGTAATTGAGTGAAAATTTCAGACGATATAATTTTGTAAGAATTTAAGAACAATATACAAAAATATATTGAAAACAACATACTTTTCCTCATAGCTATTCCATAACCTTTCTGATCCAACAGTCCTCCAATTTGGGTAAGATTGCACTCTCTTTCTTGTATATAATCTATAGATGATGATTCCATAAGAAACGCATAGTTTTCATTAATAGTTTTTATCTTACCCTCGTCGTTATCAGATGTAAGTACTTCTTTTGCATTGTCTATCATGTATTGATACATTTTTGAATATGTTGAAGAATTTGAATCCTACAAAAATGTATTTGTAGACTTTTTAAAGTCAAATTAAATAATCAAGAAATATAATTACTTTAAAGAATCCTAATGTGGATCCACCCTTTTTAGCTCCATATCTTATTACATCTTGATTTGCTAAATCCTCAGCATTTTTTATAGGTCTTTCTACTGTTTCTACTGTAAGAAATGCAGCAAGATTTGCAGTATATGAAGACACCATTATTAAGCAAAAGAACCACCAACATCCAGCCAACATTCTTGTAGAATGTCCTCTAAAATAAGATTTAATAATAAATAATAAATTGTTGGAATTATTGATGCTTTTGTAATTCTTACAAAAATATTAATTAGAATTGATAAAATATACAAAATAGTTTTTCAAATTACGTATAATGTGTTATAAAATTTCATTAATAACTGTTTTTTTAAACTACTATTTTTTTTTAGTGATTTTACTTTTAAAAATAATGATTGTTAATATAAACAAGAGTTTTAAAGAATTGATTAAATTATGTTATTTAAAAGATCTTGATCAAATTAATAGAGAAGAGAAATTAATTAAAAAGAGAAAAAATTAAAATTTTGTTTAAGGATCAAATTTTTGTTAATTATTTATAAATTATATTTACATTTTATTATATTTAGTAAATTATATATACAATTAATCAATTATATATAAAAATGTGTTTTGTATTATTTGATTTAATTTTTGTAATTAATTACAACATAACAAATAATGTAAATAATATTCATTTATATATTTTAGTTTGTGTATTTAATATATATAAATATAACAATATAATTTATTAGTTTTAGTTCGTGTGTAACATTTAAATATTCTAATTATGCATAATATCTATGAATTATCACATAAATTCAAAATAAATTAACATTTTTATAATATAATTCTAATAATACGTTACTAACATTACTTTAATAATAATTCACACATACATATATATATTTATAAAACTGCATAAGATTATTTTGATTATTAAGTTAATCAGAAAAACATGCTTGATAGAAATTTTAATTCTTTGCTATATATACCACTCAAGTTGAAAAGTCATTTATTTAAGGTAAGATTTGATTTTAGAAAACAAATTAGATGTGACAACAAATAAGGGAATCATAATAATAATAACTTTTCATGATTAATAGTGCACAAAATTGAAATGCACAATTATTGTATTTATATTCGTTTTCTTTACTGTCTCATACCACAAATATAATAATAATTTTTTGGCTGTCTATGATCAAAAACTGTCAACTTGGAATTTCATTTTTACAGCTAATATTGAAGATTTTCTAATTTTTTGGTAAATTTTTAGTTTCATTAGTAACAACATTATTCATTGGTAATTAAAGTTATGATCTTCTTAAAGTCTTTGATAAGATTACTAAAAAACCTGATGAAACAACAAACTAAAATATTTAAACTCTATATTATGTGCTTCTGGTAAAATTTTTAATTTGATAATGTTATAAATATATAAAATATATTTTGTAGTATGTATATGTGTGTATATATGGTCTTTACTTGTTCAAATTATATTAATAATTTAATGAATGATTGTTATATAAAGAATGTTTTGCATAATGTAAAACAATGTTTTAATCACATTGTAAAATTATTATCCAATTTGTTGAAAATGTACATAAAGTTGTTAAATAATATTATTATTATTCTATTTTGTTAATCTATTATATTTTCATTAATTTTAATTTTATTTTAAAAAATGTAAATTTTTCAGACATAAAATTATCAATCGAATGGAAAAACAAATTATAATATTTAAATGATTTAAAAGAAAATTCAAATTAATATTTCATATTTTTTATTTATATTATGTAAAAATTAATCTATAATTTAAGTTATCATAAAAGATATATAAATATTATCAATAAATTAAATATAAGAATAAATTTATTTTATAAAATAATAAGAGTATTTATTAAATTATTTTTAAATATTTATTTTAAGTACTTCAACAGCAAATAATTTTTAGTAATAATCTTTTTAATGAAATTATATCTTACATAGACATTGTACAATAGTAAATATATTATAACTCAATAAGTAAAAATAAATTAATAGTAAATAAATTTTTAGACATAACTTACATTGGAGCTATTTCTGAACCTTGCTGCATAATAGCTCCTATACAAAACCATAATGAATTTTTTATAGTAAATTGATTCTCTAGTTCTTCTGGCTCTTCAATGCATGGATATATATTATTCCATTCAGTTGGACACATTCTTCCAATAACAAAGAAAAGCATTGATACAATTAAATAAACTCCTATTAAATATAACCATACATTTGTAGAAAATGGTAGTAAAAAAGACATTAAACTTGGTGATGCTGGTTTTGGTTTTTGATATAAAATACTAATACCTATAACAATATTTATTAGTTAATTTTTTAATAGTGAATAGTAAGGTAAAACTTATAATTTGTATATTATATGTTTATAAATTATAATTACATTTTGATGATTTAAATATGCGCCTGTAAAACATGAAATAGTTATGGCGAAATAGACGACTAATATAAATATTTTATAATTAATATTTCTTATATTAATATTAAAAATTTACTCCATTTCTGTAAAATCGAAAATAATCAAGTAACTGGAAATATCAACATTACTGACAAAAATAAAAATTTACTTTTAAAAATTTGTTTAATTTAATAGTGATTAGAAAAAAAATATTTATTATATTTAATAAACATTTTATTATGAAGAAGAAAATTTATTTTAAATATTTATGAAGTGGTTACCTTTTATTTTAATTATTTTATTTTATATGACAATTGATTTTAAAAAAATCATAAAGATATTCAAAATACGCTTCGAAACAAATGACACTAAAAAAGAATAAATTATATGATTAAATTGAAAAATATTTATAAGCAATTATATCATTCTGGATTCTGTTAGAAAATTATAGCAATAGAGTGTTTCAAAGAATCTAAGTTTTATCGGTATAAGATGGTTACAAAAACAAAGACTGCTCAGATTTTAATTTTGACGATTACCTACTCAGAAGATAATATTTTTCTAGATATAGTATTTAATATACTGAAAACCATTTTTGAAAAATGGTTGTACACTGTGTAAAACAAAAGCAAATATCACGATTTATTATTAAAGAAAAAATAATGCTATATTCATTAATTAATTGAAAATTAAATATTAGAAGGAAGTCCAACTTATTTAATAATGCATAGTATTTTGAGTATATTAGTTACAATTATAAAATTCTGTTAAGAAAGGAGACTACCTCCCTTATTACCAAAAATACGTTGAATCAACTACATGGAACGTAATCAATTGTAAAAATTCAAAATAATTATTTATTTCTATCCTACGGAATAACATATATCAATATAAAACAAATAAAACACGGACCATATATTAATACGACCAACATATATTGATGTACAATCAACATATATTCATATAAAACCACTATATATAAATGTAAAACGAATAGATATTGATGTAAAATCAATATATATTAATATTTATTTTTAAGATATACTTAATATCACTAGCAAAAGTCATGGTAAATTATGGTATGTTAATTATTTGTCATATTATATGGTTTGCTATTTATGATTTTACTATTAATAAGTAGAGGGTATCTATTAAATTTGTTACTGTCTGGGATCAGACTTAAAACCTCCTTATGATTGTGGGTGGAGGTGTTGCTGGAAAGTGGAAGGGGCAATGCAATTATTCAATACTGCTTTTAATGTTTATTGTCTTTTCCTTTATTAAATATGATAAATATAATAAATAGTTAATGATCATAAAATGTATGAATGAAGGTGTGAGTGAATAAATAAGGAAAGTTTCTTCAGTTGGTAATGAGAGTGTATGTACTCTCGGTAGAGTGGGGCGCGATCCCTTCTCCTTGCAAGATGAGTCGCTGTGGTGGTGGGCGCGCACTGGAGGGACGAGTCGAACGACGCTGCTCTTGCCGCCGGTGTAGCGTGAGTGCCGCTATGCCTGTGTGGTGGGGAGGACTTCGTGTTGCGGCACTGCGTATGTGAACGGGAGGTTCGCCAATGGTGGATGTTTGAGCCTGTATTGGTGCGGTTGTAAGGAACGTCCGTGATGCGTTACTGCTTATGTAGGCGTGGAAGTCGGTATAGTTAGGGTAGTATGGAACGTTCGCGGTGCGTTGCTTACGTCAGCGTGAGAGCCGGTATAGTTGTGGCGTCACTATTAGTTCTTTAGGCTGCTTGATGCTTGCGTCTGTGAGTAGTTGTAGTGAGCGATGTCTGTAGTGGTGACACCTTGAAAGACGGATAGAGAGACCATAAATATTCTCGTACGAACTTGCGGCGTCGGTAGCGCACCGGTGGCTGTTGCTATGCCAATATTTGTCGTGACGTCAATAGGGCATAGCCTTGTAAGGTTCATTGTTATTACTTTTCGGAATTATAGTCGTACATTCGAGTTTCGGTGTAGAAGTATTTTTCGAGTTCGTTGGCTAGTGTTTATAAACAAATGTTCGCGCTTTCATACCTCTCCTACTTTGTATTTCGCTTTCAACTGTCTTAATCCGTAACATTCCGCCCGCCATCATCAATTTATTGATGATTAGATTTCGAGTTTTCGGTGGGAACTGGCAGTACTGGTAGAATGTGGATTGGTCTTGTGATTGTGGTTGAGTCAACTTGGGCAAGAAGTGTGGAGATTCTTCAATTATCCACTGGTATTCCTTATGTAAGTTGGCGGAGCTTACCACTACTTTCCGTTTTTATCATGTGATGCGAAATGAATTCATATTTTCTTAGGCTTGGATAATTCCTTGAGAGAGAGTTCTCGGGTGATTGCGCGCGAGTTCCGATGACGTGACAAATACCATGCTATTCTTGCCTGGTACGATTGTTTCTGTCCCTTGTAACCCTTTGAGTTATTCTTTCAATGCCCTTAGCTACTGTGCTCTTGTTGAATACTTTCACGAAGGTGACTTCGTGTTTTTTTGTAGAATTGCTGAGAAGACTCAGTCTCAGTCATTGGTAATGTGGCGAAAATTCATTGAAGATGTGGTTGGAAAGGGTGGGCGCGTCTTCTTGTGGACTGCATCGTAATCAATTTTATATTGTACAGTTAGTAATACAATTTACACTTTTAGTTTTTCAACGGTTTGGTGGCTAAGAGGACAGCGCGATGAATTAATTGCTGTTTTTTCTCACTGGGAATTGCCTGCCATGCCGCGATCCTGCAGTTGAATCGGGTTCCAGTTGTAGTGCAGAGTGTTTTCATCTCCAAGATTCATGACATGTCTGCCATGCGTGATGAGTCGTACGGCCAGGGGAATCTTTCTCCCTAGTGTTCCACCAGTTGCTTTATTGTCCTGATTGCAGTTAATGTAGCAGATTTTGTGCCTTGGCTACAGTAGTCAAATGATTGGCACTCTTTCGTGGTTGTCGATCCAATGGATTCCTTGTAGGTCCTAGTTGCCCTCGTGATCTTTTACATGCTTATGGCGATGTCAGTGGATTCCGATTATCGCGTTTGACATTTCTTTTTTTCCTCTGAGATTGGCACCAACGTTCTTCCTGTCTTTGGACGATTGTTTTATCTCTTCAATTAAGGTTAGTGATGAACTACAGTTGCTTGGGTTGGACTCGAGTACAGTTCGTTATGTAGTGGTGTATGATGTCTCGCAGATCATCTGTTGCAGTTTCTGGGGGTGGTGCACTTGTAAGTGGTGTAAGGCGCAACTAGTTAGACCATAGTCGTTGCTCCTCCTTGAAACATTTTTTCTCCCTGACTGGCAATTGCTTAGATTGGGGGCATGCAGTCACAGACTTCTGTTGTTGGCAATACATGCATATGGTGATCCATTGGCGTCCTCATTGGCCTTGGGACGTCGTTACAACGGATGATAGGTATGTTTTCACTAATCCCCTTGTGGGTGGTTTAATCTGGGTATGGTTTCCCATTGACGCGACTCATTTTTCATTAAATTTATAACGCTCTTACTCTTGTCATCACAATGTTCTTTGATTACTCGAATTTGGTTTAATTGTTGGATTCGCCTAGTGATTCTTACCAGTGTTTTCTTGTACGCTGAATGAATCCGCGTTAGTTGATGGACAGGTATGCAGTCCCTTTAGTGGTCTTTTGCCTCACAATGAGGTCTTCCAGTGGTTCAACCTCATCTTCTCCTCGTGATGTGTTGGCACAGAGTTGAATGTACGTGGGATCGTACAATCGCGTTTTTACATATCTCTTAACTCTTGGGTCTTCGCCATTAAGCGAAGCGTAACAGTAGCTTGTTTGAATTAGGTGTAGAGGATGGAATGTGAGTCGTTTAACCCAATTAGTGTAAATATAATGAGTGATATGTGTGACGTTACGACCTTATATTTAATTTACTATTAGAAATAGTTGAACTTGTATTTAAGATCCACCATTCAATTTGATTCGTATTTCCTTGCAAGGGGAAAGGTTTATATGTATTTATTCAATATATCGTTAGGCATGCTGTGTTCTGGGATAGAAGTCATTGCTCTTGGGCTTAGGTTTGTCAATTTGACTTGACCGTCGTTCATTGTAATTAGTTGACTTCAGTCTTGATTAAGGTCTTGGTAATGGAATTTTCTTTGCATGCGAGCAAGTTTTTATCCTCATCTGGGCAACGTTTCTGACTGCCAGGTTTCTAGTTTCAGTATCAATATTGTCATTTCTTATTTCTGTTTGATTGTATATAGGACCCATTGTTATAGATGGTTTCTGTGTTCAATATTCCCTTTAGGTCATGAGTCTGGATTGTCAGTTTTCTGAATCTGTATTAAGTGTCTTCAACACTTTCTTTGTGAAGTTTGTTAATAATGAACTTAAATTGCCCTTAAGCTTATACATTTTGTTTCGTTGTAATTGTGATTACAGTTAAGGAAGATAATAAAATAGTTATAAAACTGTTGATTTTTGTTCTTACTTCATTCATGTGTAACTGATTTTTTCGATCTAGTATGGTCATTTACTATTGATGATATAGTGCTCTGTGGTTATAGCTTCAGTTAGTGTATCTATTCAGTTAGTGTATTAGATTTATCCCTTATTGAAATGATATAGAATATTTATCCAATAATCTTCATTCTGAAGATGACGTGATTCGTATATTATATTCATCCTTTGCAACTAACTTAAATGTTATTTATGATTTCAGATTTTTCGGGAGATATTGTAATCAGATATTCTCGGAGAGTTCATCATTTCTATTATTAGTATTTCAGGTATATATTTGTTTTAACATCAACTATTGATCTATTCGGTGAACTTGTTTAGTATGTGCATTGCCTTCGCACCTGTGGCTAGCACTTTATGAAATTTTTACTAGTTGTTTGCATCAATTATGTCCTTCCTATGC